TTCGCAACAATAACCCGGCCAAATATACCGCGCTGGCTCACTCCAGCCCAGCCTCAAATACAACCCTCCTCCCAACTCCGCCGGGTTACACAAATAAGTATGGGAGTCGTGATGGGACCCGCGCCTCCGGGGCACTCCGAACAGATGCGCGGAAGTCGAATGCATGCGAAGATTTTTTGATGCATAATGAACTGTCGCCTCGAGCTGCGAGAACGTGTCCTTAAAAATACCACCTCCTCTTTTTAAGCAAACAATGAAATACTCACCCCGTCATTATTTTCAAATTAATTCACTAACGTCCAAAACAAATTTGTTTACGACCGGAACGCACGTCCGAGATCGATTCCCATAAAATCCGTGCGCGTGTGTAAAAAACAAATTTATACTAAACCATCAAAAATTACTAAAATCCGGTCCTAAATTATTGTGTGATTTGTCTCGGCACACACACACGTTAATTGTTTTATTTCGGCGGGTGAATCTGGTAATTATCATCTGAGAGGCTCACAATACGAAAATAGGCGGGAAAAAATAGACAAAAGACAGCCGACGACGCCATTTTTTTACTTAACCCTTGGATCTCTACCTGCGCGGGTTCGGGGCTTAATGAGCATTCACGTGTTTTTGATTTTTGTCTTTTTGTTGAGCACTGAAATAGCGCCTTGAGCAATTTCCTATCCCGCAACATCCTCGTACCCACCCGGGCATCTTTAGCCGGTGGAAGGGGGGCGGGCTCTGCCTTTAAGGCCCAGTAAATATCGCAGATTGGATCAAGTTCAAAACACTTTATTTCTTAATTCATCTCGTTCATCGCTTAATGCGTAACCACGGCTTCATTGAATGTTGAAAAGGAGCTCTCGCTCGGTATCGTGCTTTTGAATTGACTTTTATTATAAATCTTGAACGGTATTTTGTTTCGTTTTTTATGAGTATTTAAAACGTGGTCTGTAAATCTTGGAGATGTGTGATGTGGCAAGCAATGAATGTCTATTTCGTTCCTTGATTGCTTTGACATAGCATTAAGGTATTCAAAGGCAAACGACACGAACACTTGATAGGTCATTGTTTTCGTTAACATAAAAATAAACTACAGTCATAATATAAATCGTGGTTTAATGTTTTTCGAAAACACGCGAGGACAAGTGACCACGCATAACGGAAAGGGCATGATCATAAAGGCAAAGCGATAAAACACTCCACGATATGCATTTCAATAGATTTCATAGAACACATTTTAATCTCAATTGGATATCAAAGGGTTCTAAACAATATTAGTATTCGGTGCCAGCTACGTAGCTTTTTTAATTTTAAACCTTTTTATCTTACGTGTTTAGCCTCTAGTCCTGTTAAAAAAGAAGTGAGAGGTATAAATAAATGAAGCATATTATTGTTTTGTTTTGACTGAATATCCAGTTTTCCTTATTCTTACAAAACTTTAACAAAATAAAATAATGTTGAAACTTTGTAGGCTTACTAGATATTGTAGAAGAAAACAAAAGAAGCAGTTCAATATCACAGAATACCATTTATCTACCGCAAAGTGGAATGCTACGGAGTAATTAATGATGGAGCAAGCCACATACTGCACGCATCATTTAATTAACTACATGTAACAGCAAAATTAAAATTCTCCGATATGACGTTGGCTGCAAGTGCGCGGGCGCACCGTAGCGCGGCTGGGCGGTCCGCGCGCATTTCTTTTTAAAAAGTAACATTTCAAGATAAATGAAAGGCCGTTTAAAGAAAAAATAATTACCCAATATGTCGGGCGCGCGGTTATCAGGCGCCTGCTTAAACGAAATTTTAATAAAGCGCATAACGGCCGATTACGCCCGTCATTTTTCAAGATGGCCGAAACAATCGATGATTATAATATGCAGGGGTACCAACTTTTTGCGAAAACCTGATTTAACGATAAACTCCAGGGATGTGCTGCGATAATTTTTATAGCTACACCTCATATTATTTCTAAGTGCTTGTTTTCGGTCGACTAAAGCAAAAGGAACGAGAGGTGTTTTTGATTAGGGTTGTTATATTGTAATAAGGTAATTTGTGCGAATCTTAAAGCTTGAAGGAAAGTTTATATTGTTTATGCTGTTAAATCCCCATAATATAATATCTAGAGTCACACATATCATATCACATTTCAAAACAAGTTTTATTACAAAAATATAAAATATAAATAACTTGACAGCCCTAAAACTTTTATGTCCCATAATAAAAGGATACAAAGATTAGATTAAAAGACCGTTCTTTTTATGGGCTTCTAATAATGTACCTAGTGTTTTAAAATCAATGAAGTTTTTAATATTCTGGGATGACAAAGTTGGTAGAGTCATTATTATTTAAAATCACTTTAGCCAGAATAACTGGAGCTTTTTTTCACATAATATTAGTCATTAAAGTTCTCTTGTGAGTTTACTTCTGTATTTGAAAGTTAAAACAAACGAACCTGTATTAGTCTTGACAGGTAACCCTTTGTTCATATCCAATTATAAAATCTCGGTTTATCTAAGCCATTTCATCCGTATACTTAAACAGAACTCCAAACAAACATACTGTACAAATATGGTGGTTGTAAATAAACGAATAGCCTTTTAAGACTTTGTTTCAACAATATTCGTTTACAAAGTAACCTGGCCATCGGGGCATAGGTAAAAGGACGTGCCCACGAGAACTTACTGAGTTGGGCAGAGGTGTCAGTTGTTTGGATTTATTGTTTTCGGAGTGATACATTGCGCGCGGTGTTTAGATTCTTCTGGGTGTGTTGAAGGATCGCCGTCATTGTACACGATGAAAGGGAAACGTTGAGTCGTCGTTTGTTTCTCGGTACGGCCAGGGAATGCGGTCCGTGAGAAAAAAATACTCTCGCTTCGGATGCGCTCGGCTAGATAAGCGCAGGTGGTGAACGTCTCACGCCGCCACTTCGGATTTAGAATATATCATTATTTGGAGAATATAGGACTTTGAATTTTCAGTATTCTCTTCCGTTAGATAGTTACGAGCGTACCTTAGGATGGCAATGGATAAGTTCAAAAGTGGTGAAAATATATCAGACAACGTCCATGTAGAAAATCTCACTCAATTTATCTGTTGATCATTTATACTTATGTACCTATGTCTGCAAGTCAATCGTTAATATCTCGTAGTAAAGACTCCAAACTTCCTTGCACCTATAGTGTATCAATCAGGCAGCTAGAACTTTAAATGCTTCCTAACAGTGCATTTCCTACTTGACTTTTTCAGTTTCTATCACACTGAGTTCCACGTGGATACCAAATCACCAATATGAAGTTCTCGGTAACACAAAAACAAACCCATAATGACGTAAAAACTCATAAGTTTTTGACCTTAAACTTTATGTAGCGTAAATGCCGTAATTACATTTTTCCAAAATATCGCCACGAAATCCATTACAAAATTATATTTTAAAGCCTATCATCATTTTAATCAGAGTTTTCAGCTTTCAAGAAATGTTTTATAGCTGATCGATGAAAATTAAACTGTTTCTAATTAACATCATAATATAAATAACTCTCGAGCACTACTGTGCCTGCTGGGCTACCGACAAAAAGTTTCATTGTCACAAAGAAATTCCAGAAACTACCATTTTATTTAGAAAAAGTTACGGCTTTTCGTTTTTTATTTGGAAAGGGTTATGGAATTCAGCCAGTAGCAGGTTGTAATTTGTCTTTTTTATTATTTAACGTCGTTAGCTGTCGGGGGTTATCGTCGCCTCCTTTATGTCTTTGTTGCTTTTAATAATAGAATCTCTTATTACGATACGAGTGTGTTAGTTATGGCAGTCGGGTGGGCCGACCGATGCATTGGCATTACTTACGACACTTTTCAATTCACTTGCGGAGAAAGGTCAGAAAAAAGAAAAACAAATCTTAAAGTGCTGCTTAACTCGCGGGGGTACTAAACTAACTAAATCCTCAGGGAACATAAAATGAGGTTTATAAATTCATTAAAACAGAAAAAAGTTTTCAAATCAAAATCTTTTGGTCGAAAGAGGTTGCATCTTTTAAATTTCGAAAAAACGTTTTATTGAGTTTTGACAGACAATTTAAAAAACATTCGAAACTTTTTTTAATTATACGAAACCATAAACTCTGAGAAAGCGGGAAACGCGAAAAAGCGCCATTACGCTGCGGCTGTAAAAATTAATGTTGAAACAAATCAAGGGTTAACGTTTTAAATTACAATCACTCGCATTGCAAGTGTGCGATGTAAGTAACAAAATTTTTTTGCTTCCAGAATTTCGTGGATGTTTCATTGTGTGAAAATTTGAATTACACGAGTAAGGGCTTTTTTGATTAAGGCTTAATTTTTAATTAATGTTAGGTCTAGATTAAAACTAATAAACGTAAGGCAATCTCAACCCTGTCCGGTCTTAAATTGAACGACTCTGACCAAGTGTACGTGACTCAGGTACGTTTTCCTGTGATTAGAGAGTTGAGGAGAGACGTGGAGGGTCTGGGTGTAATGCCCAGGAGGTGCACACAATGCGGTAAAAACTCATTTTGTGCGGTAGTCCCTAATTTGGATGAGGTTTTAATCGATCAAAATTGTATTTTTTTATTTATTTATTGAGTTAAGTATCTTAGTAATTACATTATTAGTCATTGCCAAACTGCTTAGCAGTTTGTCGGCAATAAATGAGTAGGTACTTCTTACACAAATATTTGAAGCATTTTTATTAAACGGAGTTACAATTTAGGCTTGATTTCCGCATGTACACAATCATATAACGTAGGTTAATGATTATTCATACGCTCGGCAGACGTATGCCATAGACGTAGGTTGAAATGTAGCCTAAAGTTTAACTCTATTAAGAAGTGTTAAGAGATTTGACATCACACCAAATTATAGTGGTGCGTGTGTACGTAGTGTATAGTTCTCTTGCCTGACGTAGGTACGTGAACGATGCCAGCGTAGGAAGTAATCAATACTTTAAGTTACATTATGTCCTCTCTAAACAAACATTACCATTTCAGGTGGAGCCAACAGGCTCGGCGTCTCTCGGGGCGGCGTCGCGGGCTCTCTTCGTGGAGAAGGTGCGCGCCTCCAACGCCGCCTGCCAGGCCGGGGACTTCGCCACCGCCGTCGCTCTGTACACCGATGCGCTCACCTTGGACCCCGCCAACCATATACTGTACAGCAACCGGTAAGACGGGAGAATAGAACTATCATATTTTAACTAGATCGGAGGCAACAGGCTCGGCGTCGCTAGGAGCGGCGTCGCGGGCTCTCTTCGTGGAGAAGGTGCGCGCTTCCAACGCCGCTTGTCAGGCCGGGGACTTCGCCACCGCCGTCGCTCTGTACACCGATGCGCTCACCTTGGACCCCGCCAACCACATACTGTACAGCAACCGGTAAGACGGAAGAATATAACTATTATACTAAAACCAGAGTAGAGCCAGCAGGCTCGGCGTCTCTCGGGGCGGCGTCGCGGGCTCTCTTCGTGGAGAAGGTGCGCGCTTCCAACGCCGCCTGCCAGGCCGGGGACTTCGCCACCGCCGTCGCTCTGTACACCGATGCGCTCACCTTGGACCCCGCCAACCATATACTGTACAGCAACCGGTAAGACGGGAGAATAGAACTATTTTACTTTAACTAGAGTGGAGGCAACAGGCTCGGTGTCTCTAGGCGCGGCGTTGCGGGCTCTCTTCTTGGAGAAGTTGCTCGTCCAACGCCGCCTGCCATGCCGGGGAGTTCGCCACCGCCGTCGCTCTGTACACCGATGCGCTCACCTTGGATCCCGCCAACCATATATTGTATAGCAACCGGTAAGACGGGAGAATGGATCTATCATACTGTAACTAGAGTGGAGGCAACAGGCTCGGCGTCGCTAGGAGCGGCGTAGCGGGCTCTCTTCTTATAGAAGGTGCTCGTCCAACGCCGCCTGCCAGGCCGGGGACTTCGCCACCGCCGTCGCTCAGTACACCGATGCGCTGACCTTGGACCCCGCCAACCATATACTGTACAGCAACCGGTAAGACGGGAGAATAGAACTATTTTACCTTAACCAGAGTGGAGCCGAATGGCTCGGCGTCGCTAGAAGTGGCGTCGCGGGCTCTCTTCGTGGAGAAGGTGCGCGAATCCAACGCCGTCTGGCTGGCCGGGGACTTCGCCACCGCCGTCGCGTTACACCGATGCCCTTACCTTGGATCCCGCCAAACATATACTATACAGCAACCGGTGAGACGGGAGAATAGAACTATCATACTTTTACCAGAGTGGAGCCAACAAGCTCAGCGTCGCGGGCTCTCTTTGCGGAGAAGGTGCGTGAATCCAACACCGCCTGCCAGGCCGGGGATTTCGCCACCGCCGCAGTCGACGAAAACATTAAACTGTCCTTCTGCTCACTCAAAAGTAGTTTCGATTAAAAGTCTTGATTGAACCTTAAAGAAATCCTCTCAGCAACAATCGTATACTGTATGGAACGAATATGCGGATACAGCGTTGGGCTAATAACACCATGATGACCATAAACCAATGCATATCAGATGTTCCTTTGTTTTTGAGTTCTACTCGTTTTATTTGATGAAAATAAATTATACGAGAAAAATATCAGCTACCTATCGTTAGAAACTCGTCTTTTAATTTAGTATCAAGGCAAACCTTTTTAAGCCACTTGTAAATCGTAAATTAGGATGACAGCGACATGCAAAACATTTTACTTATTTAACCATTTATTTTTGACGTGCAGGTCGGCTGCAAGGTTGAAACAAGGGCAGTTCGCGGCGGCGCTGCAAGACGCGACACGGGCGAGGGAGCTGTGCCCTAACTGGCCAAAGGCGTACTACAGACAAGGTATTGTTATTGTCGGCCGTTTGGTGTAGTGATTCGGAACGGACTACTGTGCCCTGAGGTCCCGGGTTCGATTCCCGGCCGGGCAGAAATTGAAATGATGATTTTTAATTTCTGTGATGGCTCTTTGTGTTACTATGTATTTATTTACAAAAAAAAAGTATTTATGTGTTTATATCCGTTGCCTAGTACCCATAGTACAAGCTTTGCTTAGTTTGGGACTAAAAGCGTAGTGTAAAAATATCCAAGGATATTTATTTATTGTTATTATTGGTCCATCATCATCATCATTTTAGCCTATACAATAGGCCTATTTCAGTCAACTGCTAGACTCAAAGCCTCTCCTCCAAAGAACGCCACAAAGCTTGATTTCTCACTTTTTTCATCCACTGCCAGCTGTCAAGTGTCAACTTGAGATCGTCGGATCATTGTGCAGGCAGAAGCCATATATTGAATGCTTATTTAATCTTGTACCTCACTCATCATCAACCTGTGAAAGATCCATTACACTCAACACTTCTTACTCGCGATTTTAAGACTAAAAACTATGTAAAATTAATTGATAAGTATTTTTTAAAGCGTAACTTGATCGATAGTAAAGCGCTACAAAGGTGTTTTAAAGGTCAGCCTAAGTAAATAAACAACAATGAATGACAATGATACATACTACCTAATTATTACAATAACTAAAAACTTCGTGTGGGTTGTAACAACAAAAATACTGAAATAATAGCATCTGAAGACTGTCATTACGCCTGTCTAATCATTTTGTAAATGGACGACGTACAATACACACAATTAACAATTCTAATGTGATTAATTAGACTACAAATTGATATACGATTCTGATCTCTACAACTATAGCTATAAGCTCTAGTAGTGCTCTAATATTACCCATTTAACTGTACACATGTTTCTTCCATTGTATTTATGAAAGTTAACTTTCACTTAAGTAATACTTGGCGTTATAATTATGATTGGCAAGACTATTTGTGACTGGCGGCTGTGGGCAGTGAGCTTAATGAAACTATTAAATAAATAATAATAGGGCTACCATTGAAATTATGTTAATTGAATCAATAGAACTCTTCAGCTTTCTCTTTGAATGTTACTACTTAATATCGGGTTTAGGTGTCTTTACAGTAAATAATAGCAGAAAATTAAATTGATACTCTTTATTGCACGCCACACATAACTTGATAGTTAAGAATACGAAATTTAAAAAGCACAATTTCTTAGTAGCTAGAAAGCGTCCTCTTTCAGAGTCAGACAGCGAAGACAGTTACTATTAGAAAAAATACTAAAAATTCTTCAATACTATTTGATTTAAGTATCATCAATACATTTTCCAGGTGAAAGGTGCCGGTAGAACCTCTCTACCGTAGAAGTGTATAGAAGTTACTATAATATTAAACGCTCTCCTGGCTTAGTTTTTTGCAGCTGCATTATGAAGCTAAACACAGTGCAATAAGAGTCATTTTAGCCAAGTTAATGTACCCGTTACACAAGAAAAGATTAATTAATTTCGTAATAATGCAAAAACATCAACAGTGTTGATTCCTACGCATTTCTATTCAGGTACTGCGGTAACGTATGAGAACGGCCGCCAGCCGCGAGACGGAGACAAATGCGTCCGGTGGATTCCAGCTTGTGTTTACTAAGTGTCCCGATGCTGTGGGGCGTCCCAATTTTTAATATAGAACGCTGGTGCAGTGCACTAATTTGTAATTTGGTGTAGGTCTAAATTCACGTTTAATAAATATCGTTAGGGACCAGATGATGTAGAAGTTGAATACAGCACTAGTGTTATTACCACGTGTCCCGGTATTATGGGACGTTCTAAGTTTCAGCCGAAAGATGCTAAGATCTCTCTTAATTGTAAATTAGAATAAATTGCCAATAACAACATGAAACCTGTCCTTGTTTTAATACATGAAAATTTTCTAAGAAAAACGAACGTATTTTCAGTTTCAGTAGTTTTCTCTGTTCAGATAAGCGTCTAATGGCGAGCTTCGTTACGGAAACGATGTGTTCCTAGATGCTACCTTTCTAATACAACTTTGCTAAACAACCTCATTCCGTACTTCGATAATATCTTGTCCCACTTGTATCTGCACTCCACAACACTGTTCTGGTTTAAACGCAACCTCAAACCGAGCGTAGGCTCAAATTAGACATTTCTCTACTATCCATTTAATCTTCTAAGGTTTCACAGGACAAGCTAAGATCTGAGCCCATGATTTTGATAGAGCTTTGTAATCGATGCCATTCATCTTGAATGTTAATAAATTGTAATTTTACTAGGAAACATGGTAAGATTAATGAAAGAAAGAATGAAATATGAAACTTGTATGAATGCAGCTTCTGTTCCCGTCAAAGTGAGTTAGGGCCTGTTTAAATAGGCACAATCTCTCCGAGATAATATCGGTACATCGCGTAATCTCCAATAGAAATAATGATTCGGTACAGTTAAGTAAACAAGTCTCTTTATCAGCATTAGGTTTTATTAGTTTCTCGATCTGGTAGGTCCTTATTTTTAATAGTTTTTAATCCTTACAAAGTAAGAAAAGAAGTAAACTATTAACAGCTGAACAAATTCGTTTTTAAATTAAAACTAGCTGACCCGGCGAACTTTGTTCCACCTTAATGGCAATAAATAAGCAGACTTTTTTTTTAATTTCGAACGGGATAAAAAGTATCCTATGTCCTTCTCCTGGCTCTAAACTACCTCCCTGACAATTTTCAGCTAAATCGGTTCAGCCGTTCTTGAGTTATAAGTGGAGTAACTAACACGACTTTCTTTTATATATATAGATAGATATAGATATCCACACCAAATGAGACACTGACCACGTTAAGCTCAGGCTCAGTGTCACGAGCATCACCCCAGGTGTAGCGAACTCGTTTTTATATTCCTATTCTTACACCAGGTGTAGCGAATTAATTTATACACACTGAAAAAAAAAGTTTGGTTACTGCTTACACAAATGAGTGACTAGCGAACAGGAGGTTACTATACTAACTAGGTACTATGGTTATAAGGAACAAAATTTTGTGTTAATTAAACAAACTTTTTTGTAGTGAGCTAAATCTGGCTTGGTTATACTCGTAGGTTAACACTCAGTTCGCTGGTCATACTCATTTGTGTAAGCAGTAACGAAACATTTTTTTCAGTACCCCATCCAAGCTAGCATGTGTGCCACGTTAATATTTTATCGCGGTTTTATGTAAATCGATTTTAGACCACACCTGTATGTGTTTATATCTCGATAACATCATATTATCGTGGCGCACAACCCAGCTCTACAGGTCTAGCAAACTCTACTCTAAATCCAAACTTTTACCCCAGGTGTAGCGCTACAATGTCTCGGGCGGCACGGCGAGGCGCTAGCCGCGTTCAGCTCAGGGCTAGGAGTGGAGCCTTCATCCCGGCAACTGCTGGCTGCCTTAGTGGAGGCCTCGCTGAAGTCTCCATTACGGACCACGCTGGAGCCCACCTTCAGGCAGCTGGAGGCTATGAAGCTGGACCAGTCGCCGTTCGTGTTGATTTCGGTAAGTTACTACATAGAATAAGTGCAGATTTTAGAAAACATAGAGCAATGGTTAGGCGGAGCTTTTTGAGTTTGTGGATCACTTTGTGTCATTTATTTAGTTATTTAATTTTTAGCGTTAAGAGTTGCATCTCAAACTAATTTGAAAATTATAAATAAAGTGAAAAAATCGAACTGCCTAAGGCGGGAATTTTCATTTATTGCTCATACTTAAGTGTTTCAAAGATTTATTGGCTGGTAGTTTCTGTACCTCTAGTACGAAAAACTTTCGAGTTCGTTTCGTTGCGTATTCAAAGTGTCATCGAAAAATTTTGTATGAAAAATTAAACAGCGCCCCCTATATTATAGCCGCCCTAGGGGGCGCTGTTTAATTTATCATACAAAATTTTTCGATGACACTTTGAATACGCAACGAAACGAACTCGAAAGTTTTTCCTACTAGAGGTACTGAACCTTTTTGCACTACAATCCGAGAGTAATGAAATTGTCACTTAGTATTCTAAGAAACCTCCGACAATATTACGAATAACTAGACAAATAACTTACGTTGGTCAATAGGGAATGCATCTTATAAAATACTCCATTATCAGTACGTAAAATACCCTCACCTGCTTACAATCTGCCCATATTTCCCGGGCCGTTTTAACAGGAATTTGCATTTATACATACTTACACGCATCTGAATCAATAGAATGAGTTACTTTATCCAGCAATTCGACTGTTTAAAACAAACCGTCGTTATTTTACCGAAAAAGGCAGCATAAATAGGCAGTAAACAGGTATAAAATATTGTGTGAACAGTGAGCCCTGTCGATGCATCGGATTTAAACTTATTTATGCTGTCCAGAGCGTCCTGTTTTAAGACATCTGATACGGACAAGGCATACGCTCCCAAAATAATGACAACCATTAACGTACGACGGGAAATATACCGATTGTCACTCACGAGTTCGGATTCTGTTTTTACCTTTGCTGGTTTTGTTCGCGGTCATTCATAACCTCTTCATTAACTTCGGCTGTATTTGTGATTTTATTATTTGTATTCAGAGTTTTACTTTTAAAAACGTTACATTGAGTCACGTTAAACTTTAAAGCTAATTTCCAAATATTAGTAACTTGTCCACGGTTTGAAACAAAGCTCAGAAATAAAGTTGATTAGGAACAATAAATTAGAAATCTAAGTAATTTAAAAAATAACTCTTCTTTTATGGTTTAATTTTTTGTTGAACCCTAAAGCGACCCATACCTATACTTGGTCAGTTTTTGCATGCGTCAACATCAACATGAAAGACAGGACAACTGCACTTGCAAAAAACGTCTGGAGTTGCCTCATTATGTATATTTTGTACCATTAAAATTTTGTGACTGTTAAATCTATAATATTATAGCTATTTGTATTTCTGTATAGGAGCATGTCTGGAGCTTTATTATGTACTAGGATCAGTCTATATTCCTCGCTCAATGCGATTTAAGTGGCACAAAATATCTTAAGTCAGTCCCACGGTAAGCTTATTTAGGCTCGGATTTCATCCATGGCCCTTCATGTCGTGCTTAGCATAAGCAAATAGACGAGTCCTGTCTACGCTAGATTAGATGTCTCTGTCAATCTGGACGACCGGCTGAAGGCGGTGGCCAACAAAAATAACAATCCAAGACCGAGGTAGAGATGTGCCGAGCTAATGGACTCGAACTCGTTAGTAAATCGAATACGGAGTCGGTTTGGGAATTAGTCGAGTTTAAGCATGTCGTCAAGGTAGTTATTTATACGATACTGTACCATTTAGGCCTATCCGAAAGGTACCTACAAAGGTCCTGCCTCGATAGTATTAAGTTATCTATGGTTATAGGATTATTCAGGCAATCTACTTGAAGTCTCTACAATTCTACGTGCTACGCTACTACACGCTCATATATAGTTCTAATCTTATGAAAAAGTCATACCACCTGTTTGACATAGGTCCAGAAGGAGTCGCATATCAAACATTAACGTATCATCGCTCGAGTCATTAACAGCATCAATTACAGACACCTCGATTCTCACTCGTCCGAATCGAATTACCGACTCGATCCGGTGCATCGCTACCCGGCATCGGGCGACACAGGCTGCATTTGCATAGGTACATTCCGCCCCGGCTGGCGACATCTGAACATTTTTCGGCGCATTTAACCGCGAACAATGGGCCAGTGATCAGGCCCCCGTGAATTNATAAATACGGCCCCCGTGAATTTACATACAATCTGCGCGACAGTTGATCGGCAGTCGTACCACGGAATGGCGTCGTACCATACAAAATGGCAGCTATTAAAATTAAACGGATAAGCCGTAAACCGTACAGATAAAAATACTCAATCGATCTTTGTGTTGAAGAGTTAAACGGAATTGTAAAGGCTTGACAATCAATCAAATGTAACAATGGTTATTGAGGCAAACATTTTTGCGAACCAACTAAGAAGACTTCTTAAAACTTTATAAGCCGTAGGTCATCCACCGCAACCAAGATTGAGCACTTAATTGATTAGTAAAATTATACATTAAGTTAGATTTAAAAATAATGTTACTCGTAATTGGTGGGTGTTAACTCTCCCTTCTTTGTCTTTTGAAAAATTTTTTTGTGTCTGCATACAGCATACGGGTTGTTCAATCCAACGCATGTCGAATCCATGGCACAATAACTCAAACTTATTGTAACGAATTGATTGCTTTTCGTGGGGTATGTATCATCTAATTTATTCAAGAAGGATACCGTACCTACAGGGTTTAATTTCATACAGCCAGTTTGTTACTCTGTTAAAACAATACATTACAAGCTCCATGGGTGTTCCCAAACCTCAGTAATTTCTTCATACCAAGATAAGTTCGAGTCGTTTGCGATGTTTTACTGCTATATTCGTAATGTCGTACTTTAATCGCCTCTTAAAAATTCGACGTGCTTTTTGCTGTTATGATACTCAAATTGCAATTTTTGTACATTAGTTTATTATTAAGGAGTGGAATGACATTAAATCCAAGGTTCGGTAATTGCTAATATTAGGTGACTCACGTTGAGTGCCAAATGCCAATCACTCTACGTATTGTGACTCAAGTTTTACTGAGATTCAACAGATGGCATGCAATCTACAGCTGCACGATTTTTGATGCTCTAAATAAGAATAACATGACTTTATTTAATCTAAGATTAGCCTTAATCTCCATTAAGTATAGGTGCTAGTTGTCAACAAGCTGCTGTTATGATTACATAGAATCAAGTTAATCAGTAGGTACTTTAAAAAGTGTCGAAATGAACGGTCTCGTATGTACGTTACGTACTACTCGTATAATCTACTAATTCTACTAGATACTAAATCAACTTTTTTTGCAGGTGGTGGGCCAAGAGTTGCTAGCAGCCGGCCAGTACCAAGCCGCTGTCACGGTCCTGGAAGCAGCACTGAGGATTGGCTCGTGCTCCTTGAAGTTGAGGTAAGAATCCTCAAACAAAGCACAGACTCAAGCCACCTAAGTTGACCTGATTCCTAGACGTAAACTTTAAACTTTATACTTACAGTATTCGGCTTCTATTTACTTGATATCTTCCTGTACTGACGCTTGCATCTTACTACTCATATAAGCGCACTCTAACTACACGACCATACTTACGTTTGAACTAAGTGCAGAGAGTGATTAGGAACAATCAGTATTTTTTCAGTGCATGAGCTTTCAGTTTTTATATTGTACAAAACACGTCTTCCGCTCTTAAGCTTCGCGCAAAGCTTTTCGCATGAAGGTGACAAAGACCTCTTTATTGACTTAAGTGTCAACGATCAGTGGTTTGTAAACACATCCATTAACAATTAGGTCAAGCGTTCACTTATTAAAGATATCACTTCTCCCGACTGCACTTCGCCATATCAGGCTCACTAATTATAAGTTAAGCCCGCTCGAAGGGCGAACCTCTCCACAGCTCGTACTGCCCTAGGTAGAAATTAGCTTTATAGCGCCGCCAAAGGAGAGAAAACACCACTTTTACCAATTAATATAACCGATTAGTGCTGTAGATCATTTAACGGATAAATTCCAGATACAAATTTTTCTTCTTGCGCTAATTGCCAGCCAATTGGAAGTGCAAAGGGATCGATAGCAATCGCATCGATTGATTTGGAGCTTATTCGATTAATCTTATATCGATTATAATATTGGTGAGCTTCTTATTTCTTTCATTTTTACGACTAAATTACAGATCAATTAATTTTTCTGCACCTAAGTGCGAATGCGATTGCTCTCAGACACGTCTCAATCTTCTTGCATTTTATTGTGATGTTTAATCGCAAAATTCAAAGGCCATAAATCGGCGTTTGGCCCCGCTCATGGGAGTGAATCCCTTAGCAACAATTTCACACCTTCAATAAAGCTCAGCCCAGCCTTAATAAGAAGAAGACAAATGACTCCGCTGCGAATCTTCACGTTCATTAATGCCGTAACATTATTATTTTTAATCGTCCGCCGTATATAACGAGTTGACAGTGGATAATTTACTCTCGTGCACTCCTATCCTGTAACATCTTTATTAAAATCGCAATAAGGTCTGGATTCCGACCGGTTGAGCAGTTGTGCGTACTTAAGAAACGGTTATCTTTGTCGGAATTTCGACGTTTTGATTTATAATGTTCGAGTGTCGAGGAAATAAAGACTTCATAAATTCCGCCGGGATATACTCCGCGGGTTTAATAAGAGCACCAATGTACCCTAATTGACATTTCAGAATTTTACCGATGGAATCGTTTCGTAAATTATAGCCCACCTGTGCCAGGCGCAGTCTATCTGTGCTCGTGAGTCGGAATACGGTTTAATACCAATTCCCCATTAACATGTAACAAGTAGGCTGCGCCTTGGGTAGCTGTTGCACAAATTAAATTACTTTGAACGGTACCTCTTGTTTTCCTTTATAGCTTAATTTAGGTATTACAGTTAGTCCGATCTTACATTACATTTTATTTCGATCTATTACAGGAACTGTAATTCGAACACGAATAGATTAACTTACATTATGGACAATGAACACAAAGATAAGAAATGTAATATCTGTTAGAAATCACAAATTGTCCTAGGGATTCTAGAAGTAAGTTTCCTCCTAGGAATACTAGAAATTCTAGATCTTACCACTCAATCGAGAACAGCCGTCTACGGTCTTCTTTCAGTTCGCTGTGTTTAAAAAATATTTACTTTTTACCTACAGTACATACATCTTTTAATCACAAAATTCGAAAGATTTTTGCCGGGAGCGTCTTTCAGCACTAACTTGAGACAATGCCGACAAGATCATTTTCTAAATCAACACGACCGGAAATCGAGTCCGGGACTCCTTGCGCTCACGGCTATACGCCGCCCCACCATGCTATCAGACCATGAAATAAGCCATATGGAGCACTTAAAACGATCCAATATAAAGATATTGAATTGGATTATTATAGTGTTTTAAGTGATCTCCCGGAATTGATACAATATTTTTATGTTGCTAACTGGTTTTAAATTCAATAATCGTATCCAGCTCCAATAATCGAAATGTAAATGCGATTCCCGAGCCAAATTATTTGACATTAAGCCCCGATTTCGTTTAATTATTCCCTTCTTCCAAACTCCAACTGCCGCAATTTCCTGTCGCTTTACTCTCATCCTAAAACATCTCGATAAAATCTGTTGGTATCGATATATAAATCGTCGGTTAGTAGTTTTAAAAATGTAAAGTACAGAAAGAGGGCCTGAAGAATGTGATCATTAACGGGGCTTGCAGCAGGCGCATAAAGTTCGAGGATACTGTTCGGGTGCGTGTGTGTACTGTGTAGCGAGGCGGCGAGAGGGCTATAGCACGGGGAGAACAAGCAGCCCATTTTATACATAATTAATGTGTTTATTTTGACGAGATAATCAACTGTCTGGAGACATTAGCAGCGGTTTGTCCAGTTTTAGAGCTTTTTCTGTGGGGCAATCCATTTTGTTCAGGTTTGTTGGAAATTTTCGAAAGGAATCCTACACTTACTATCAGGAGATCCATCTGCCAGTTCGGCTTCCTACTCGCATCTAATTTTGCAGTCGAAGTATCTATAGTATGTTTTTGCATTAGTCACACTTGCTTGCTTGGCTTGTATAAATTCTTTGCCCAACTTTTTTTAACCTTATTTTTCTCTTAGTGGATCAGTTTTTTCTTATGAAAATATATTTTCAGGGAATTTCCCAGTCCCATTTTCGGTGTTCTCGTCCGCCCAACTTCAAAAAATGACTTGGCTGCTCTCGTCCAGCTACAGCCGTGTAGAAACAATTTGTAGCAGCTCGCTAGGCATTTGATAAGGTCTTATTTAGCACCTGCCGGGCCCTGGCGGAAGCCTCGTTCGTCTAACGCAGACGCTGCGAAATTGCAGGAGATACAGCTGAAAAGCAAAGAAATAAACATAGAATAACAAGCCCTGGAATTAGATTTGCGTTGGGGAATTTCATTTTAACACATGCGTAAATCTTGCGGCTAAATTATTTAGAGATTTCTAGCTTGGTGTGCTGTACATTCGTTTTAATCTGCAAGTAGGAAATATATTTTCCATAGACTTTGCCTGCGCCCCACTAGACATTATAGCGCTTGTCAACCTTTCAAAAAGTTCAAAAACCAAGGTAAAAACCATCCTGTGTTTTTCTCTTTCATCTGAATTGGTTCAATGGTTTAAACTTGAAAATGTGACAGACAGACAGTTAATACTTACTTTCAGATAAGTATTATAAAACATTAAGCACGGAAATAAGGATTAACAAAAGATATTTGCCTTCATAATAAAATTCGCTACTTAAACTTACATTGTAAGTTACACATGACAAATACCAATTCAAGTTGGATTAACGTTGCAATTTTTACAGGACCATTCACACTACACGTATGGTTAATCTTAAAAGCGACGTTTATAAGCTTATAAGAGTGCATTAAATCCCTCGGACATTGATCAAATAAGCCTCATCGGGCAACATCGCGAACACATTACTAACTCACTATACCAAAATAATTGTCAACTCGAGAGTTGCAGGGTTGGCGCTTTATTTGCTTAATTAGAATAGGTACATTTTTTTTTATCCACAACGAGGAAGCTCTTCGCCTGTATCTCACCTGATGGTAAGTGACGATCAGGCCGAAGGTGGTTTTTAAAAACTTAATTAACATGATTTTAACTACTTGATTGTATTTATTATTATTAGATGCAACAACATTTTATTGATTAGTTAATAGCTTCTTGCATTGTTAACTTGTCGTAATTATCAGCGAGAACTGAAAAACATTATGTAAAAGATTACAAAGCAAAATGTCTGTTTTAAGTAGTACAGTTTCATAATCATACAAAACAATTTTCTTCCTCTACTAAATGTACATTGTACACTTTACAGATTAGACACAGATTTCATACTGGAAAACTCAGCAGGTTTTTAAAATAGGTTTACCTTTTTTATTAGTCAACAAGTACCTAGATTTATTCCCCTGCTACACACCACAATACTAATTGCACCAATGTTTTTGCTACAAACCAACTTGCTTCCTTCGCGTACGTTTCCACGGATGAAAAAAGGTGTCAGCCCTTTACAGCGTCAGGCGAGGGCCGCGCGTCGAAACCCACACCTCGCCGCGATGTTATCTCACTTTGATGGATCGAATCTGTATCGATACCGGCCTATTCCGAGTCGGAATTTTAACGATTAACGGAATGTCAGCGATCACCGCAGATTAGATTGTGTGACGGACGATTTATTATCTGGAAGTAAGTACTTTCTAATGAATTGAGGATGTGCTTTATGAATGTAATAACTTTTAAAAGCCTCTTCCAGGTGTAGTTGCTTTTTACGGGCCTGGACAGAACAGAAATGCGTAAATTAAATAACGTATCGATCTTAAATATTACCTAAATTGTTGAATAACTGTACATATTGGATGCAATAAAAGAATGAGTATTTAGTATTTTTTACTTGACCATAAATACTGTTAATTAAATACACTTACGTATAAAGACTAACGTAATATAATTTAAGAAGTCCAAGTTATCACAACTCATCTGAAAGAGATCATATTAAAAATATTTATGGTAAATATTCCGCATTATTCTTCAACGCACATTTCGGGCGCGCTCGTAAAATAAACCCCAAATTATTTATCTTGTGCCTTGTGTATCAGAATATCGACCATCTTGGATTCCGAGGCAAAGGTGTAAAGTGGGATGTCAAATTACATCGGTCCGAGTGATTCATTAGCGTCCGCACGAATTAAAATATTTATCCCGTATCATTTTAATCGATTTCACACCGACTATTTACTTGTAGCCGCGACAAAGGTCGGAAACATGAAACGTAGGAAAGGTTGCATGTAAACGACTTTTTAATAGTCGGAGAGAGTTGGAAAAGTACCCGGTGTTTGTTTTTTGTTTTGTGAATTCATTAGGACTATTTGCCGGTATAGAAGGAAGCATAACATGTATTATGCTGGTGTGTGTGGTGATACGAATGCATTTTCCTCATCATTGCTTCATTAAGCGATTATATTTGAAGTAAAAGAAGAAAACAAGTAGTGACTGCGTTTCTTACATTGCTTTTTTCTATGGTTAATTAAAATATGTGCTTATCCAAATGTAAAGTTCACTCGCCTTTGTGAAATGCAACAACTATACGTGCATATAAAGTTCGTGTACATTAATTGACAATATTATTGTTTTTAAATACACAGACATAGTTATACAGAAATATCAGATACTTACATTATGGTTATGATTTTCGATTTCAAATATGATTAAAGAAAACCTGTTTGTCCCCAGGGGTTCGGTCTTCAGCGCTCTATCATCCGCTCACTGGGCGCTCAGCCAGCTGGACGCTGCAATAAACTACATGCAGCAAGACTTGGCCGTCGCCAAGTCCCTTGGCGACACGGCGGGCGAGTGCCGCGCGCATGGCAACCTTGGCGCTGCGTACTTCAGCCAAGGGTCCTACAAGGATGCCTTGACCGCCCACAGATACCAACTCGTGTTGGCCATGAAGTGCAAAGTAAGTAATGCATTTATTTAAATTAACTTGACATATAAGGCTAGAATGTACTTACTTGGCGACCTGGCCAAGTTACTTGGCGACCTTGTGGCCTGTAGATGGTAGCATATTATTCAGCTAAGGGTCGTACTTACAAATACAAAGTCAGTAAATGCACTTTAAAGGCGATTATGCGGGAAGATTTAACAGTTGCCAAGTAACTTGGCTACAGAGCAAGCGATGCACGTAGCTACTGAAATGAAAGTTCGGAGTCATTAACGTGATATCAACTAAAGTTCCTTAGTTACACACGCTTTGAGCACGGAAAAATTATGCTGTTAGCCAAGAAAGTAAATCATAATAAAAACTACTTTCAGCGAATAATGACTGCAGCTAGCATCAGTAATTAGCTTATGCACATTAATTGAATCCTAATTAACATTTTTTGCATACCGACAACATTACCTAACTGAGGAACTTTCTGCGCCAATTTTAAAATGCCAACTACGTAGGTACAAGAACTTCATCACAAAAACACTGCAAATTATGTTATAAGAACGAAATAATGTAATTAAAAATAACAATTTCCGCTTCTCACAATAAAGCAACAACAAAGTTATTGCATCAATTTCGTCGAAATTTCGTCTTCAACTGCAGAATTAAATCGTCAAGTTTTTAACAACTGTGAGTGTTTGGTTTTTTCAACTTGGACGGTTTATTTTCGTAAGCGTCCTCTACTCTCGTTTTGTTTCTTTGCCATAGAAATGGAGGCACATTCAATCATGTCCAGATGCCCTGGGAACGCCGTAAATTATCGGGTAAACATAATATATGCCATATAAAGCAAATCCTCGTGCGAAACTGAGCTAGAATATAATATTACAATGGAAATATTTACATGGAGAATGGTAGTAAAACAATATTTTAGTTTCTCTTTTACTAATGCGTTCGAGAGAAGGCGAAATAAAAACGCGTTGATACAGTGTTTATATGAAAGGTATCGTATTTTATTACCAGATAAAGATTTCCGTGTGCCTCTTTAATATTCAACATGGTTTTAAACAGCATCTAAAAAGAAAAATCACTCAATTCGCTGCGTAGATTTTACAACGATTTTGTTTTAAAAAATAAGTTTAAAAAGTATATTTTTATTAAACTCCGTGTCATATGTATTTTTAAGTTTTGCAGAGACATCGTAACTATCACATACCAAACCTAATAGTCACAAAGGACCCCACAATAAGTTTTAGAGGGGCATAAAACGGTGATTCGCTTTTAAACGTAGTAAATGGTCGTGGGGTTGTCACAAAGCTGCAAAGCATACACGAGTAATTTTTTAGAATACTATATTCAATGACTAATATGTCAAAATCACCAATATTGATCATAATAGTTACAGCTAAGATTACATAATTTGTTAATAAAGTATGTCGTGCATCTTATTAGACCAGATACTAAGTTAAAACTGTGGTTTAAACAGAATAAACTACTTATCCATCTTCATTATTTAATCCTGACTCTACATAATAAACATCTTTCAACCGATCGCACATAAACTCCACCCTACAAAGGCGAATTCGCATCAACAGATATATCCATTAGGAATGCGCCTAAAAAGGAATCTAAAAGAAAGTAAAGTGACGTAAAGCAGAATTATTGAATGCTCACGATTAAAAGCTAAATGCGCTTACCGCCATAAGCTGGTCATTCAGCAGCCTGCTTTATCGGGAGGCCAGGGCATCTGTATTACGCTTAAAAGAAACATTACAAATAGTAAAGTTCCCTTTTTATTGGGGCCTTTGATCGGCGCCGGCGCGCGCACACTAATGCTAATTCGCGGTAAACGCACCAACTTCAACTTCTGCGCTGTGTCAAGTGATCCTCCCATTTTCTCCCAGACCAATTAGTCTTGTAGCTAAGCTGAGATTTTTTATACAAGTATAAATAGTAAATACCCTGCCATATACAATCGTAAAATTAATTACAGCTGATAAGCAAACTGGTACTTTCAGCATGGTTTCGTTATTTGTATCACACTCATATAACAGTCATTAAGAGGATATAAAAGCTCATCTACGTTTAAAATATAAAGATTTTAGATAAGTAGTTCTTATAAACCTTTGACGTATAGAAATTCGAATGAACTTCATTAACAAATCATAAGCCACCCACGAAGCGAATGCAAAAGAATTATTTAAATTGAATATGAGACTGGAATCTGGATTTTTAATGTTGCACTTTGTATTTATAAACCAGTTTGATTAGTATTAACTCAGGCACTTGTGGAGTGTTTTTAAATTACCTATTTATCATAAAAATCCTTACGGTTGAATCCTGGCGTTTATACCATTTAGTTTCTTTACATAGCAATTTCCCACTCATATTGGATTACTGATACAGGCTTAGTTCCACTCAATTACACCTGTTTCGCTATTGCTTGTCGTTTATTACTTTAAAAGCTACTCTGGCACATCAAGCTAAAGTTAAACTTTTTATTTAGCTGTAATACGTGCTATTATGCAACAAAAATCATACCCTGACGTGTCAACGACTGTTCCTACACTTATCGGCTCTTACAGCTTTTAATTACAGCTTCCGATTAGTTTTGATAGCTTTTAACAAGTAGTAATAAAAATAAACTATAGTTAGGTACTTCTAAGTTTTTAGTACCTCTATGATTCTTGAAACTTTTCTCGTATGAAATATGAACGTAGCTGCGTAGGTACTTAAAATTTCTGAAGATCAGTACTGACTACTGTGTCTATGTATAATATGTTCTGAACTAATCTCAGTCGCAAGAGTCAGACGACAGGACATCAAGCTAAGCACTGCAGACTCTTATGTAGTGGGAATAAGAGCTGATTTGAAACAAAAATGTATAGTCTTATATGCAGTACATTCCGACACGACAAATCGTCCAGTTTCATTACAGCGCGCAATCACGAGGCGGCACCCGAGAAACAATCCGAACAAATAGTCGTAAAAAATATTAACTTTACGTTCCACGCGACCGGCGGCCGACAAAAAGTTCGCTCGATTTAAAATAACCGCGAAATGTTCGCGACGACGGGAATTAGTTTCCCAGTAACCCGACCAACCCCGCGGATGTTGAAAAAACGGACAGCTGGCAGCCGAAGCAGGGGAAAGGTTCTGCTGCAAAAAGCACCGACTTCAGAATCAGATTTGAGTTCGTTTGCCAAAAACTTTGTACGACTTCAAATGACTCAACGAATTTTTAATCGACAGTCCGCCCGCATTATAAATCCTACCTAATAATTTATTGATATTCATACCTTGACGCTTGACCTAATAATCTACGGACGAAACATTAAGATCCTTCTTCTCTNACCTTATTATCTCTCTTCTCTCCTTACGTTGGATGTAATAAATGTTTTTATTTTTTATTTTATTTTATTTAGGATAACAAACAATTGTACAATTCAGATATGCAGTAAAGTTATACATCGACATTTAATTATTGTACAACCCGCACCGCTATCCCCATCTTACAAATTTTACAACAACTTTACCTTACAATACTTACCTTTTTCTTACAATGTTGTTTTACAACAACTTTACCTTTAATAGGGTTTTTTAACCCCTAGAATGACGGGCCCCTAAAACTAATAACCATGTACAGTGAAACATAGCGACCACGACCAGTGACCCCGCAACCGCGCACAACTCATTTCTAATGCCTAATTAATTTACGCTAGACTCCGGATGTGATCTGTTTTATGCTACTTTTTGTATTATGTCATCCATACATACCTGTTCATACATCATCAGTTAAATTACCAGCAAGTCACGACATAATTGTTGCGCATTTTCACAAAGCGAGAACGGGTACGTAGCTCTAAAATATTTACAGTAAAGTATTATATTTATAGGAGCAGTAGTTTAGAAATTGTATGAACCCGTTGAAATGTCGCCTTCAAAGCGATGCGATTGTTTGTTTAATTTGAAAAGAAGCTATTTCTTGCAAGCTTCATTACTATTGCGAAAGCTCACAACGAGGTCGCGCTGTCGTCTTAACTCCTTCGCTGCGAAATAAAAAGCATTGAGTGATGTATGTAATGTTTCAACCCTTCGCCGGAGCGTAGTGCGCGAATAATTCGACAGTAACATGCGGGTCTAGCCGGCCTTCATTAGCGGATGCCGGGATAACCCGTCCGCCGCGCCCGCCCATGCCAGGCAGGTGCGGGGTCTCACAGACCACTAAAGCCCTGTTCAGACGTAGCGATTTTGATCTCCGAGGCTTGACCATTGGCAGCACTTGACGTTTTTAATGTTAGTGGTATTGAAGAAATTGAACAAACGTGGTAGGCCTTTAACTAGAACTAGCTCTTTTGTTGGTTCATATTGTTTATTAACTACATACATTTTGTTTAGACCCTTTTCAGGGGTTGCACACGTCCAAAATTCAACTTGTTGTTGTTTCTTATTCAGAATGTAACCCTTCTTTTGGTTATTGACGATGACGTCTAAGTTAAGTTTTTCTATTTGTCTACTCGCCAGCTAAATTCTCTTTTCGCATTCGTATCTTCAATCATCATTTGACAAACACAGATACTGTCGACTCTACATTTTCATTGATATTCCTAAAAATATGTACGACTTTAACATGGTTTAGCTAAAGTTACATGGTCTGTATAGAGCCTAACAAGTTATGACTTCTCATGATATGCCAATACATCCTTATTAAGAATAATTGAAGTGCGTATGACATAACGTATTTGCGGAGAATTTATCAATTTATATTCATACTATCTCGCGAGCTGATAATAATTAAAACGATGCCTATTTTAGATGATACACTTTTTATGGGCGTTTCTTGTGGTTGCCAAGCGATTTTTTTATTCTCTAGAAAAATTTAGACAGAGTTTTAATATGATGTAACATGTTATTTTCTGTACCATTGAATATTGGTTCAAATTATCGCCTGAGTTAAATCATCATCACATTATATTTTACCTTGTGGACTTTTTTATTTTGATGCATTTCTTCCAAGATAGAGAATCTAGAAAATCATTGTTTCGATCAACCCAAAAATAACGTACAATTATACCTAACCTGTAACTCCAAAAATTGGTAAAAAATAGTAACATTACGGTACGTAGAGTTAATCAGTTTTAGCGCTTCTGTATAGGTACTTACGTATTTCTAGAAGAAAATCGACAGATGGTTATGTAATACAGGACTTACCTTCCCACATAAATGAAAGTGGTTTTTCTCGTCTCGTGGGTTTCAGAAAAAAGAGCTATTTGTTTATCGCATTTACGACATTCGTTGCCTTTTTAGTATCGTATTTAAAACATGCTGTAAATTGCCCGCGTCCTTTAGTTCTGAGTACTCCACAAGTCGGAGTCAACATTTTGCAGTCTATTTAACCTTACCATAATAAATGTAACATGTAATCTAGCTAGAGTAAAGAAAAAACGTAATTTAGTTGCTAAACTATAGTTTTATTACGGCAAAATATAGCTTGAAGTACCTAGAGGTAGAGCTAATTTGGAAAACCTGAAAAATCTAGGTAATGCGAGTACTTAGTAAGATAGTATCTTGTTACAATTTCCAATCATTGTAAGAAATGCAATACTTGTAGTATTAGCATAAAAATAAAAAGGTTAACGAGTCCACCGATGCTTACATAAGTGCATCTGCATACAACTCGCTCAGTAGTAGAATGTGAAGGGTTTTTGTATAATCTAGGTAGATAGTGTTTATTTCTTCTATTACTTAACCATTCGACACGTCTTTTTATATCTCAAACACTTGTCATACATATGACAGCAAATCATACTACATATTGCAAAATAGCCCGTATAACAACGAGATAAGACGCTATGTCTAGCTTGATGTGCTCTCGTACTTGTCTATGAGAGAAGGATGCGGGCTGTTACGCGGGCCCTTACTGATTAGGCACGCACGTGGCCTGTTATGATCTGCGCTTTTTGCCCTACCAGTTCTTACGCATATATTACGAACTCTTTGCTGAATGCACTTTAGTTATCTATGCATTCTTAAGCCTATGTTGGCGCCATCTTGGAATGTTTATAAATTAAATGTTGTTTCTACATTTTACGTTAATTTAATAAGTTGATTAATAGTTGAATTAATATAAATATGCATGAATTTGGCGAAAGGGATGACCTACCTTATTTAAATTCGCTCATGATACTAAAGGGAATTAAATATAATTTAGACCTTATTAACATTCGAAATTAAAAACGTAACGTTAACTCGTAAATGTTCGATTCCTTATTTATGAGAACATAATATAAATGAACGCTCAATAAATATGATTTTAGGAATCATGAAAATACAATAAATGTTTTTAATTCACGAAGTTAAGAATGCTCTCGGCGATTATATTCTGAGCATTACGACTGATCGGGGAGCTCGGCCAAAATGAATATTCATGAATTGCAAATTCCCAACAAATTCAAAGTCATCATGGAGTTTTAAGCGGCTCTCATGTTCGCCAATCGTTATTTCGTTTTTAACATAAATACCGATCGTATATTGATAACTCTAAAAATCAACTTAGTCTATACTTTTATTTTATTTATGCTTCAAGCAGCCGGGGCCCGTTACCAGTATTTGCAATGGAAGGTATAAAACTTAATATCTGACTTGAGAAAAAACGATTCTATATTTAACACATACGATAGTCACGTCGATCATCATTTCAGATTATCACCCGTCCGCTTGCTTTATCTTTGTTTTGTGGACAGAGGTTATTATTAAACTTTATTAGCATCGGGTAAACTTGAATTATTTTATTAATACAGAGAATTTCTCAGCTCCACCACAGTAAATTGGAATGAATGATCGTTAAAAGAAACAAAATTGCGGTCCGCGCAACTTGAATACTAGTGCTGCATAATGGCCGTACATGAGCGTCGTATTGTATACGAATAATAATCTGGAGAAACAAGGCTCACAAGCGAACATAATAAAGGTTGATAAACGTACGTCTCATTCGAGTATTATTTATAAAGGCGGTTTTCCCACCACGCGGCCAGCCTGCTCGTTGGCGTTCGCTCGTCCGGAAAGTATCCGACCATACAACTGCATTTAAAGTCCCATCTAAAGAAGACCATTTTGTTTCCAACTAACTTCAATCTGATTGACCTGAGTGCTGTTTCATGACTTCATCAAGACGCTTTCCAGTATTATCCGTAAAGTAAGTTCCTATAAAAGAGAGTAGGTAAAGACTCTCATAAAGCAGTCCGTAAAATTTTTAATTATTTTCATCTTCATCTTATTTTATTATCAAAATAATCATCAGACTCTATTAACCTTCAATTGATGTCAAGTAATGTTCCAAATTAATGTAAGCCTCAATTCGATTTTTTAAAGTTAAAGCGACTCGAAGCGTCAAATGTCGGTAACTTGTTGGCCAAGATTGAAGTATTTTAGGGTGCATCCACGGCTGGCATTAGAAAGACGACAGAAGGGGATCGAGGCAGTATGTAAATCAGCGCGCTATCGCATCATGTTGCACATACTTAATTAGCTAGATTGTTGCGGCTCGTCCGACTTCGCGGCCCGTGCGGGGCGGGAATCGAACTTGTCGACATCGATTCGAGTTTTCAATAAGCTCAGAGCTTTCAAAGTTTGTTATCTGGATCGTGAAGATTGGCACTAATATAATGTACTCGTACATTTGTAAAAGATTTTGGCTTATATGTTATCAGTTACATTGCGCTTAGACACCGGAACATTAAAGATTATTAAAAGTAGAACGTAATAGTAATACATACTCAAAGATAGTTTAATCTCCAAGAAAATATGCTAAAAAGTTATCTATAACGAGCCTAGCGATCAACATTTTCCGCATTTTCTACTGAGAACACAGCTTTCACTTTACAACTAACAGTTTTTCAATCTAATGAAAACGTTATCTAATCGCGCTATCGTCAAAACGTTCCCATCCCTACCCGAGACAAAGGCGGGCTGTCTTCGGGCATTTTTTCCTTTTGTCCCCAACTTCCTCGGTGAAAAGGACGCGGGATTCTATGCCTTTATTTGCTTTGTTTGTCGTATGCATTCTACTAGAAATGTGGCGTCATTTGATACTGTTTACTGCTCTCGTTCATAGCGGCGTTTGTTTGCCATTTCCATTCTAGCACACACTGTCGTGTGTTAGATAAACAGCTTTTGAATTATTAGCCGGTTTACCAACTCGCGTTTGTTGCTTATTATTGGATTGTACGTTTATAGTTAGTAAATTATACTTGTAGAGTGTCTTGTTATCCATTTGCTTTCGGATGGGTAATTGCAGTTAGCTCTTGAATTTAATATTAACGCTTTCTGTTCATGTAAAAGATAAATTATCCTTCTCCTAAATCCTATTAGACTAAATAAATTGGTGCTAGTGGATCAAAAAGCCTCTTAATTTCAAGATCGCCTACGCCAGTCTCTATAATTTATTTACCTATTAAATACTTATTATTTTACTGTTATATCTAATCTGTGTCTTATTACAAGATGTTAATTTCCCTAATCCAACTGTTTCTGCACGAAGTTGACATTAACCGGCTAATTATGGAAATCATCAAACTCTCTTTCACAATTTCCACGGACTAATTTCTCTAACATTAACAACCAGTAGTTAGACGTAATAATTTTGGTCCCGCAGTAAGCGGTGAGCTTCCACAATTTGAGATACCGTTTTATTTGATAGTCAACCTTATTTCTTTACATTAGGGCCTAGTTTTTTCTACGTTTTAGTCAGAGCTGAGGTCACGAAGTTAATCTGTAGGTCACGGTGCACCACGAGAATGTGGTAAACGCTCCGCGAAACACAAATTAACAGAATGCTTCTCATTTGCCTTTCATTTTATTAACTTCTTGGATTAATACTTTAGTCTTTAGAGAGTTTCAAACAGATTTCTGTCGTGTACTATCTTTCTAATTATGTTTGACCCCATCCACTAACACGGTAAACGAGGAGACTATTCACGGAAGTAATTATAAGGCACCCAAGCCTCCATGAGGATATTAATTATTCATATACTCGTAAATATCTGGCAGAAAATACAGGGAAAGGGAGTATAGATCTCCAACGTTTGCTTATAATACGTAGACATTCCTCTTCAGAAATGTTCTTATTGTATCTAACATTATTTTTACAATTTCGACCGAGTTANTCAAGATACCTTAATACGTGGACCCGAGCTTCACCATGATGAACTGGCTGTCTTACAATATCATAGTCAAACTATGTAGTTGTTGAGAAAAATTTAAACGAAGACTAGGTGCACAGCCCATATTATTGTTGCAAATGGATAGTAAGAAGCGTGGTAGCGCCATCATCATAAAGGTTTATATGTTACAACATTTAAGAGATCTTTATCTTTTCAGGACACTCAAGCAGCTGCCGCAGCCCTAACATCATTAGGGCACGTGTACACAGCCATCGGCGACTATCCTAACGCACTCGCCAGCCACAAGCAATGCGTGCAACTGGTTAAGCAGATGGGTGACCGGCTGCAAGAGGCCAGGGAGATCGGGAACGTTGGCGCAGTGTACCTGGCTATGGGAGAGTTTGACTCGGCCGTCGACTGTCACACGCAGCATTTGAGGCTAGCCAGAAGACTTGGTGATCAGGTAAACTTCAACTCAACCTGATTGGTAATATTTCAACTAACTTTGAAGAAAACACTACGAGTATAACATGAACTCCATTTCCCGTCAGGTCGAGGAAGCCAGAGCGTACTCCAACTTAGGTTCTTCATACCATTATAGACGAAACTTCTCTCAAGCTATTGCATACCACGAAAACGTGCTAAGGATAGCTCAAAACCTTGGCGATAGAGCTATAGAAGCCCGAGCATATGCCGGCCTGGGACATGCAGCCAGGTAACATTTCCACAGGTTGCATTATTTATTCAACTAATTAAAGTTCATAGTCGAGATGAGCTTCGTAGGTACTTTGTAATTGAACTGATGACAAGGAAACGCAATCCATTTTCCAGATGCGCAGGCGATTATGCTCAAGCAAAGAAATGGCATGAGCGACAACTAGATGTTGCGTTAGCAGCCCGAGATAAGGTACGGGTTGTAAATTATTTATAACCTAACAGGACTTACTGGTATGACGAGTTTACTTTGTAAAGATTGTAGAACGTCATATTATTTCTATTGGGTTTCAGGTGGGCGAAGGCCGGGCTTGTTCCAATTTAGGAATTGTGTACCAATTATTGGGGGAACATGATGCTGCACTGAAACTACATCAAGCACATCTTTCAATAGCGAGACAGCTGCAGGTAACATTATAAATGCTCTTATAAACATTAATTTCTTGAAAAAAAAAATGAAATTATGGCACATTACTCAAAATCATTTTTTTATTTTCTAGGATAAAGCCGGCATGGGCAGAGCCTACGGCAACATTGGTAACGCCTACTCTGCAGCGGGGTTTTACGAACAAGCCATAAAGTACCATAAGCAAGAGCTGACAATATCCAAAGAAGTCCACGATAGGAGCTCAGAAGCCTCCACACATGGAAACCTGGCTGTCGCTTACCAGGCGTTGGGGGCTCATGATATGGCGTTGTTTCATTATAGAGCTCATTTAGGTAAGCCTTGAATGTTGGATTCTTAATAGTGACTTAGGAGGCAAATCGTTAGTGAAGTTAAATTAAAACTTAACATTTTTCGCCTTTCAGGGATTGCACGAGAACTAAAAGATGCAGCTGGCGAAGCGTGTGCACTCTTGAATTTAGGCAATTGTCTCTCATCCCGAGGGGAATTCGCACAAGCTGTTCCTTATTATGAGCAACATCTCATGCTCTCCCAGGAACTAGGTGACGTCACTGCTGAAGCCAAGGCTTGCCACTTTTTAGGCTATGCGCACTACTGCCTGGGCAACTACAGGGAAGCTGTTAGGTAAGAAAATCATTATGAATTAATATTCTTGTAGTTGCTCCAATCGCTTTAAATTGATTTAGAACCTTGGACACAATCAAGACTCTTTTATTTTATTTTTTACAGATATTATGACCAAGATTTATCACTAGCCAAAGATCTTCAAGACAAAATGAACATGGGCCGAGCGTACTGCAACCTTGGTCTTGCCCACTTAGCACTCGGTAACCTGGACACGGCGTTAGAATGCCAGAAGTATTTCCTAGCGATAGCCCATATGACACAACACCTGCAGGGCAAATTTAGGGCTCTGGGAAATATTGGAGATGTTTTGATCAAAATGGGAGATGTTGAAGAAGCTGTGAAGATGTACCAGAGGCAACTAGGATTTGCTAGACAGGTGGGTGCAAAGAATTTCTGAGAAAAATCAAGAAACTTCTGGGTACTTCTCATTTACACTCAAATTTGATGGTCACACAATAATAGTTCATAAACGGTTTATGTTAGAACAATAACTTTGAATTCAGGTGATAACATATCTATTTAGCTACATACAAAACAAATTTTATCGTAATAGAAGCAAAAATAATACGAAAACATCACATGAAACGATACAAAACGGGGTCATTTTTCGCGTTCTCATCGTGTCACACCTTCGGTTGCAATAAAACATTTGGTTACTGCATTCACAATTTTCATTCAATTTGTGTGTAACATGTACTAAAATCATCGTAATTAAATATACCTACTTTGCACACAATANTTACATCAAGCACATCTTTCAATAGCGAGACAGCTGCAGGTAACATTATAAATGCTCTTGTAAACATTAATTTCTTGAAAAAAAAAATGAAATTATGGCACATTTACTCAAAATAATTTTTTTATTTTCTAGGATAAAGCCGGCATGGGCCGAGCATACGGCAACATTGGTAACGCCTACTCTGCAGCGGGGTTTTACGAACAAGCTATCAAGTACCACAAGCAAGAGCTGACAATCTCCAAAGAAGTCCACGATAGGAGCTCAGAAGCGTCCACACATGGAAACCTGGCTGTCGCTTACCAGGCGTTGGGGGCTCATGATATGGCGCTGTTTCATTATAGAGCTCATTTAGGTAAGACTTCACTGTTACACCTGACGATTTCAATAAACAATGATATAAATTATTGACTACGGTTATTGAATTCAAATTAACTTAGTGATTGACTTTAAATTTTTCGCCTTGCAGGAATTGCTCGAGAGCTAAAAGATGCAGCAGGCGAAGCGTGTGCACTCTTGAATTTGGGCAACTGTCTCTCATCCCGAGGAGAATTTGCCCAAGCTGTTCCTTATTACGAGCAACATCTCATGCTCTCCCAAGAGCTAGGTGACGTCACTGCTGAAGCTAAGGCTTGCCACTTTTTAGGCTATGCGCACTACTGCCTGGGCAACTACAGGGAAGCCGTTAGGTGAGAAGATTACCTTTTCCTAATTCTTGGAGTTGCTCCAATAATTTCTAATTGATCAAGAATGTTGACCAAGAAGTTTTTTTTTTATTACAGATATTATGACCAAGATTTATCACTAGCCAAAGATCTTCAAGACAAAATGAACATGGGCCGAGCGTACTGCAACCTTGGTCTTGCCCACTTAGCACTCGGTAACCTGGATACGGCATTAGAATGCCAGAAGTATTTCTTGGCGATAGCCCACATGACACAGCACTTACAGGGCAAATTTAGGGCTCTGGGTAATATTGGAGATGTATTGATTAAAATGGGAGATGTTGAAGAAGCTGTTAAGATGTACCAGAGACAACTAGGATTTGCTAGACAGGTAGGTTTTAATAATTTTGAAAAAAATATCCAGAGACCTCTTGACGTTGTATAAAAATGACATGTCTTCATTTTTCAGGCACGAGATCGTTCCTTAGAAGCTGCTGCCTGTGGTGCCTTAGGTTTAGCGAGACGACTGCAAAGAAGATTGGATGCTGCTCTTGGGCATCATACACAGGTAATTTGAACTGTAATTATCATAAGAAAAGAACAACTAGCAAGCAGCGTAACGAATAAAGAATTAACAAATCTTATATTTGCAGGAATTAACGCTACGCCAAGAAGCAGGTGACGCCGCGGGAGAGGCACGAGCACATTCCCACCTTGGCGCTGTCCACATGGCCTTGGGCCACTATTCACATGCAGCCCGTTGTTATCGGGTATGTTGGACCTTCCGTTACATAATAATAGAGTTGATTTATCAATAACATTTTTTCCATGTCTATCTAGAAGTCTTTAAAAGTGTCAAGAACAACGTTAGATTTAAGATTTCATCTTTTCTGTTTTAGGAGCAACTAGAAAGGGCGCAAGAACTTCAAGACTGTGCGTTAGAAGCTCAAGCGTATGGCAATTTAGGTATTGCCAAACTCAATATGGGACACTATGAGGACGCCATTGGATATTTAGAACAGGTACATAATAATCGCATAGTCACAGTCGCTAGCATGTCCGTTGAAAGACATGAAAATCATGTTAATGTTATTTTTTTCCAGCAACTGGCGATATTAGAAAGAGTGAACACCCCAACGTGTCAACTGGACAAAGCACGAGCCTTAGGATCTCTTGGAGACTGTTACGACGCCCTGGGAGATCCTGATGAAGCTGTCAAGTACCATGAACAGCATCTAGCTGCCGCATTGAAGCTTGATAATAAGAGAGAGCAGGAAAGAGCGTATAGAGGACTAGGTCTTAGTCACAAGTAAGTCTTGTATCTTACCATCTACTACAAGGCAAAAATAAACGATTTAAAAATACTAAAATAATCAACTTCTTCGTAAAATTATGATATAAATTACTGCTTCAGGTCAATAGGAAATCTACAGCAAGCACTAGTCTGCCTGGAAAAACGGTTGGTGGTATCACACGAGCTCGGTGTGCCCGAAGCTAAAGCACAGGCGTACGGTGAACTCGGCGCATTGCACATCGCCCTGAACAATTTGGAACAAGCAGTCTTCTGTTTGGATCACCAGAAGAACATTGCTAAGTGAGTGAAAAGACCTAAGCAAATCAGAATAATACATGTTCTTACTATTCCAAGCACCAAAGCTTGGCAGCTTGGCACCTGGGACAGACCGCTTTCGATATGGGTTGGGGGCTAAAGGTTTGCTGTTGATAACCAGTCTTCCAAATAAAAGATTATCTGCTGAACATTTTCGTTGTTGCTACAACGAAACTGCTGTTGCTAATGCTTTGTTGGGAAACCTTTTTGGCATACTTTTATCTTGGTGTTTTTCTCCTATTCTTCTAGAATAGAAATTCGATATTGTAAAACTAGACCAATGACAGCCAATTCTCTTCCAGGGAACTAAACAACCAAATCATGGAAGCAGAAGCGTGCCACTCTCTGGGCGTGGCGCAACACGCGTTGGGAGAGCACGCCGCCGCCGTCAGGCACCACCGAGCTGAGCTGGAACTGGCTCACAGACTAGGACTTACACATCTACAGGTAACCACAAAAGGGTGTAGGTACAATAGATAATTTACTTTACTTTAACCTGCGGATGATGTGCATTAAAAGGAAAATTACTTACATACCAACTTTTCTATTAGATGGGATATGATGGGATGGGGATAGGGTTATTGGGGATAACCCTATGACTCGGCCCCTTAATGAGAGATTGTGGACTGAATGAGGGTCTGTGGAAAAAACCGGATAGAATCGGTATAAACTGGCGATTCAAATCTGGCTCCAGAAGTTGCTAGTGGGTGGTGGTGACTAATGTTTCTTGACATCTCCAGAACTACCTTGATACACATTAATTCCTATTTCATTTCTATTTCTATAAAGTTACTTACCTAATGGTTCATTATTACAGGCACGGGCCTGCGGTGGTCTGGGCGCTGCGCACGCGTCGATGGGCGCGCACGCCGAAGCCGCGCGCTGGCACGAGTCTCGACTGAGACACGCTACTGCTTCTGGTAAGATCATAATCGAGAACTAGGCGATAACAATCGTTCATTTTTATTTTTCTATCGTGTACGGTCGTGTACTGGAAGTAATTGCCACAAACGTCCGACATAAGTACCGAAATAAGAAGAGAGTTATGTCTAGTTCAGGTTACGGCCCTTACAGCCTGTTGAAATTCCAAATATTATCTCTTTCTAGGTGACACTCGTGGCAGAGCTCAAGCCCTAGCCGAGCTCGGTGGAGCGCACCTAGCGATGGGAGCCTGTGGCAGCGCTGTGTCTTACCTGCGGCAGGCACTCGCTGCCACGGAGGGGCTGGCAGATGTGGACCAAGAGGTAAAACACATAAAAAAAACAATTAGCAACAAGGAAATTCCCAAAAGAACTAATGTCACTGATAAAACTCGTCGGATTGCTAAGTTGAATGAAATTGAGTAGAGACTACGAAATGTGTTAGGTAATTAAAGCTGGCACGGATAAGAAAGAACACATGAGTAGGTAGCAAGCATTGCGGGAAGTCACTTGATGCATACAGCCTTACGCCACTCGCTGTGACCTGTCATAAGGGGAACTTAATCTATGTCCAGCAGTGCTCTTAGAAGCCAATGATAACGATGATCATTATCCTAAAATATAAAGATCCGATTTTTCCAGCTCACTCACCAATTTTTTTCTACCCCATAGGCCAGAGTACGCCACCGCCTCGGCTTCGCGCTATGGGCGTCAGGGGAACTAGAAGAAGCGAAGGAACAACTACAAGCAGCCTTGACAGCACTCGACACTGTGGCTGACAAACACCGGGACAGGAATACAGCAGCACTGTACANTACCCTTCTAAATTATCTAATGACAAGGTATAAAAATGGCATGTCTTAATTTTCCAGGCACGAGATCGTTCCTTAGAAGCTGCTGCCTGTGGTGCCCTAGGCTTAGCAAGACGACTGCAAAGAAGATTGGATGCTGCTCTTGGGCATCATACACAGGTAGGTTAACCCATTGTATATTTATAAAGAAAAGAACAACTTGGACACAGAATAAAGAATAAATAACAATAAAAATAATGTATTTACAGGAATTAACACTACGCCAAGAAGCAGGTGACGCCTCGGGAGAGGCACGAGCGCATTCACACCTTGGTGCTGTCCACATGGCCTTGGGCCACTATTCACACGCAGCCCGTTGTTACCGGGTATGTTGAACTTTCCACTTCATAATAATAGAGTTGATTTTCATCTGCTTTTTTCCAACTTGATACAGAATCAGATTTTCCAGAAGTGATAAGAACAACGTATAAACAAGATGGTCAAAATATTGTTTCTTTTTAGGAGCAACTAGAAAGGGCGCAAGAACTTCAAGACTGTGCGTTAGAAGCTCAAGCGTACGGCAATCTAGGAATTGCCAAACTCAATATGGGACACTATGAGGACGCCATTGGATATTTAGAACAGGTACATAATAATCGCATAGTCACAGTCGCTAGCATGTCCGTTGAAAGACATGAAATATTATGTTAATGTTTTCTTTTTATTCTAGCAACTTGCAATATTGGAAAGAGTGAACACCCCAACATGTCAACTGGATAAAGCACGAGCTTTAGGATCTCTTGGAGACTGTTACGACGCCCTGGGAGATCCCGATGAAGCAGTCAAATACCATGAACAACATCTGGCTGCCGCATTGAAGCTTGATAATAAGAGAGAGCAAGAAAGAGCGTATAGAGGACTTGGTCTTAGTCACAAGTAAGTTAAAAGACTTCTTCTATAGGTATTACCAATTAGTACAGGTATTAAATAGTTTTCGATAATATGAATTACTATTTCAGGTCAATAGGAAATCTACAGCAAGCACTAGTCTGCTTGGAAAAACGGTTGGTGGTATCACACGAGCTCGGTGTGCCCGAAGCTAAAGCACAGGCGTACGGTGAACTCGGCGCTTTGCACATCGCCCTGAACAATTTGGAGCAAGCTGTCTTCTGTTTGGATCACCAGAAGAACATTGCTAAGTGAGTGAAAAGGCCTAAGAGAAAATTACTTGTCAGATCATAATAATACATTATCTTACTGTTCCAGGCACCATAGCTTGGCGCCTGGGACACACCGCTTTTGATATGGGTTAGGGGCTAATAGATTAAGGTGTGCTGTTGACAACCACAGTCTTCCAAATAAAAGATTATCTGCTGAACATTTTCGTTGTAGCAGTTGCTAATGCTTTGCTGGGAAACCTTTTTGGCATACTTTTATCTTGGTGTTTTTCTTCTATTCTTCTAGAATAGTAATTCTATATTGTAAAACTAGACCAATAACAGCCAATCATCTTCCAGGGAACTAAACAACCAAATCATGGAAGCAGAAGCGTGCCACTCTCTGGGCGTGGCGCAACACGCGTTGGGCGAGCACGCCGCCGCCGTCAGGCACCACCGAGCGGAGCTGGAACTGGCGCACCGATTAGGACTTACGCATCTACAGGTAACCACAAAATGGTGTACCTAATAGTAAATTGATTTCGTTTAGCCTGCGGAGCGGACGATGTGCATTAAAAGGGAATTTACCTACAAACTTTTCTATTAGATGTAATGTAATGCCGTTTTCCACTTCCGAGATAACTAAAGGGCCAATGCCCTTGGAATGGAAATGGAATATTAATTCAATTTTTATGCATTGACTCGCCTTATTAATGGGGAATTGTGAATGGAATGGGGATTTGTGAAAGAAGCCTAAAAGTAAATCGGTATAAATTGGATACTAAACCATGACTTCAGAACTTATACCTTGGAACACATTCATTCCTATTCGATTTCTTTATGTAGCTATATCTATACTTACCTAATTATTCAATATTACAGGCGCGGGCCTGCGGTGGTCTGGGCGCAGCGCACGCGTCGATGGGCGCGCACGCCGAAGCCGCGCGCTGGCACGAGTCTCGGCTGAGACACGCTACTGCTTCTGGTAAGATCATAATCGTGAACTAGGCGAAACCAATGCCCAATTATTTTGATTTTTCTATCGTGTACGGACGTGTACTGGAAGTCATTTCCAAAAACGTCCAACATAAGTATCGAAATAAGAATTAGTTCAGGTTACGCTATCTGGCCCTTACAGCCTGTTAAAATTCCAAATTATTCACTCTTTCTAGGTGACACTCGTGGCAGAGCTCAAGCCCTAGCCGAGCTTGGTGGGGCGCACCTCGCGATGGGAGCCTGTGGCAGCGCTGTGTCTTACTTGCGACAAGCATTAGCTGCGACAGAGGGGCTGGCCGATGTGGACCAAGAGGTAAAACACATAAAAAAACCAATTAGCAACAAGGAAATTCCCAAAAGAACTAATGTCACTGATAAAAAGCTTTCTAATATTGTAACGATGCATGTAAATTGATATGTTGTTGGTAAATCTTCAAAAATAAATAAATAAATAAATCTCGTCGGATTGCTAAGTTGAATGAAATTGGGTAGAGACTACGAAATGTGTTAGGTAATTAAAACTGGCACGGATAAGAAAGAACACATGAGTAGGTAGCAAGCATTGCGGGAAGTCACTTGATGCATACAGCCTTACGCCACTCGCTGTGACCTGTCATAAGGGGAACTTAATTTATGTCCAGCAGTGCTCTTAGAAGCCAATGATAACGATGATCATAATCCTAAAATATAAAGATCCGATTTTTTCCAGCTCACTCACCAATTTTTTTCTACCCCATAGGCCAGAGTACGCCACCGTCTCGGCTTCGCGCTATGGGCGTCAGGGGAACTCGAAGAAGCGAAGGAACAGCTACAAGCAGCCTTGACAGCACTCGACACTGTGGCTGACAAACACCGGGACAGGAATACAGCAGCACTGTACACGTCTACTCACCACGCACTACAGAGAGTGCTAGTTGGTGAGTGCATAATCAAATTACTTCTGTCCAGTCTTGTGAAACCACTCCTTATTGAATTTTTCATTTATGTATCCGATGATTAAAATCAAGTTTCTAAAGGACTTATTTTTCAACAATACTTAACATGTATTCGTAAGCAATTCCAAAAAAATTTTGGAGTACCCTAGGGTTTAATATTGGGACCTGTACTATTTTTATTGTTCACAATAAAATTGTGAAATATTACATGTTCAATCCATTAACATAAATTATCACTGTTTCAGAGCTTGGTCGACACCCCGAAGCACTGGTAGTGGCCGAACGAGGTCGTTGCCGCGCGCTAGACGCTGCCACGGAAAAGCCTGCTGGCACTTTGAACCAGACCAATTTGGAACTGCATACTTCTCAAAGGTAACTAAATAAAAAAGTACCTATCGTATGTGTACACTTACTAGGTCTATAGACGTCCTTCTGCAAGGCATGGGACTTTACTTGATCGATGATGTTTTTAGTCAACCTGCTGTCGTTAAACGTTCTCTAAATTATGCGTTTTAGAATCAACTTTTTTTAACATACTTTCCGAACCACGCAGATGCTTTAGTTAGTTATTTAGTTGATATTTCAGTAATGCTGCTATACCATATTTTATTTGAATTCGCTGTAGAAATGCCACAGAAGAGCAAGGCAAAGAGCGCCCGGAGCCGTGGAGCCCGTCGACAGTGGAGCAAGTGTTCGAGGTGGTGAACAAGCAGAAGGCGCCGGTTCTGTACTATAGTCTCGCTGCTGGCCGGCTCTATGCTTGGCTTCTACAGCCACACAAAGGTATGTTTCCTACCAATAAAACCATTAAGTATGAAGACATCTTGACTTTTACACTACTCGTATTTACAGTCCACGTTCCACATCATAGATTTTAGCAATTATAAAAAAATTAAGACTGATTATATCAACACTGACGGTTGACTCCAAACTCCTGTGTTTCCAGGTATCCTACGCTTCCACCAAGTATCCCTACTGGAAGAATCTGAAGAAAGCAACAACAGTCTCCCTGAAATCAATCCTGATGACCTTCAAAATACTAACAGTAAGTTTGTCTTCTGTACGAAACGTTTGTAATAATCCGTAAAAGATTAGAAACAAAAGATTAACTTGACTTGACTTGTCCCTAACCAGACGTGGGCAAACTGGAGCGCTTCATCAGCGAATGGTCGTCTTGGCTGAAGAGCACTGCGGAACGACGCGGCGAAGACGACCAGTGGGAACCAGATGAGCGGCCTACTGGACTCACCAGAATGGTAACCACATTTTTCCCTAAATGTAGCAGTTTTCTGATATTCTCTATGCCTACTTTGTATAGCCTTAGTTAACATAGAAAGGTTACAACGGTTAAAGGTTTAAGCGACAATAGCCGAACGCTGAAGGTGGCCGACTCAAGATCGCATTCAAACCCCTCCGGCACTGGACTATTGTAGTCAACCCCCAAATCATGCATATTTAGTTTAATAATTCAAGGATAAGGAATAGTTCAAATTATTTATTTCTTTTTTGTTTTTAGGTTACCCGCAACCATCTCCTGAATTCTTCAAACTACTCACTGAGCTCGCTATTCAGCGTGGGTTCCGTCGGTGGTTCTGTTGCTGGCTCAGTGGCCAGCTTACAAGGATCTACGAGGTAAGATAAACATATTCATTTGTTTACTAAATTTGTTAAATTTGAAAAACAAAACATAAATTATTTAAAAATCTTAGTTGCCAGTGCGCTATCCTACTGATTAAGATCATGATGATGATAGAGGTAATTCAAGACAAAACTTCTTTTATACTTAGTAGTTTTGAATTCAATAAATTGACCAGATGTCATGGTCCAAACACAATAGTCATACATATGTATAGAGAGCTGCCTTTTGACAGCTCTAAAAAGGTTATCATAAGGATAACCCTAATACATTACCATATAATGTGTTCTTTGGCTCAGGTCTAGCGTGCACGGCCCGCGCAAGAAGGCGGCGTCGTGGCAGGGCCCGCCGTGCCTCGCCGGCCTGTACCAGATGCTGCTGGCGCCCTTCGAGGACCTGCTGCCGGCCTCCTGCAACAACAACCACGGTAAATATTGCAAATAATGTAAAAAAAAATGTTTAAGCTGGGTTGTTTAGTTAAAATATCAATCTAGATACAATCTGTCGTCACATCACTATCACTAATGCTAAAGCACGTTAAGCCGGTCCGTTTGAGCGATATCAGAATATGCACATTCGTCCTCCTCACTAAGTTTCTCTAGCGACAATACAACTATGCATGACCTACCTTGCAAATGCTAGTCGCTAAATAAGTTATCTTTTCAGATGTCAGATCATACATGATGACGCTACGCTAGAGTTAAACCTAGGCAGCGCTAGCGTCAGGGTTGCCAACTCTACGTATTTTTACGTAGATCTACGTATTTTAAGCCTTCCTTGCAAACCTACGAACTTTAGTCCCAGAATCTACGTATTTTCTATCAAATTTGCAAAATAGGCTAAATGGGCATCGTTTCCTTTACTTTCGCGAAAAAGTTCGATTAAGGTTCTGATTACGGTAATTTAGCATGTGGCAAAAGTCGGAACTAATGTTATTTTGACATTTCCCCATAGAAAAAATGCTGTACAGCGCCCCCCTGTAAATGTCACTGAAGAGACTGACCTGTGAAATTTGAAATGTGACGTGACGTGACAGTGTGTGTAAATCGTCAAACGGTCAAAGTGAATCTTCACTATAAATAAAAATANGCTTTTACTACTATTGGGTTTGGCTAAATGTTTATTACTTTGTCATACGCTAGGTGAGATCATACCAAAATATCTAAACAACAAAAAGTAAACCTTAATCTCTTTACTTTACGGCATTCTTAGTTTACTAACAAGTATCAACTTGATAAAATGGTTGACTTCGGTTGAATCGTTATAACGGGACTATTCCCACCTCTCGTTCCCACCGCTGCAACTCCTGTGTAGCCAGGATCTACAGCTTGATCGCCAATAAAAACCCAATTAGTGAAGCTCAAGTACATTTCTTTGATGTAGCGTTAAGCAAAAATTAGACACAAAGCTTAGCTGTTAATTTTAGTTTCCGCATAACTTGGTTCCCGACATCCCGATTAGCATGGACGCGTGATCCGCCAATTTACATTCCCGTGTGTCACCGGTGACAGTTGACCCGGCGACCTTGCGCCAGTCACGCTGGTCTGCGCAGGGACCTACTATGTGGAGACCACACGAAATATGTCTACTACCTACTGCAAGTCATTCGGAAAAAATATTTAGATACTTAATTCTTCTAAATATTCTCACTGTCAAAGTCAAAAGTCGAAAGACTTAGTTCCACATGTGTGATTTGTTCAAGTTATAAAGAAAACTCGAAATTACAAATAATGGACGGACAGCTGCTGTAACTATAAACTGGCTGGATCTTGCTCTATCTGATACTGTAACTGAACTGAAGCTGAAAGCTCTTTGATAGAATGCACAATAGATACTAGGTAGGTACAGTCGCGGAATGAAAAGGTTCGTTACCTTAGTGTCGGTTTTCGCTTGCACTAGGTACTGTAAGAGTCAAACCTGCCAACATAACAGTGCAAGAAACAGTGCTGCTAACATTTAAATAAATATGACGTTTGCTAACGAATAAGGTTTTGCTTGTTTATTTTTCTATCCCATCAGTGCAATGCAATGATGACATTGACCAATTGACAATAGTTTTTTTTATTTAATAGATATAATAATGGCAGGTTGAACCAACAAGATGGTTTTAGTTTATCAATCATAATAATCTTCTTGACAAGATAAATCGTCAAACAACTTTGACATCAACATCTGAATAATTTTGAACTTTACTGACGAACAGTTAAAGATTATTTTCTCTAACTCAAGATTATTCTGTAACATAGTTTCAAAAGGTAATATGTGCTCGCGATTCGTTGAAGGAATCAATTTGAAAACTGACGAACCTTTTCATTCCGTGACTGTACATATTGTTTAATTTTACAACTTTTATCTTTGAACATCTACACTAGTTATCTTTCATCATCGAGGACGAGACAACAACGAGCATAATTAATAGTCAAACGAACTTACCTGTACGTGAAGTTCGACTGTAATTATGCGAAGTTGTTGTCTCGTCCGAAGATGATGAGTCCCACCCAAACCCTTGGTTATTGTAATAATTAAGAGTAAGTAATTACAAAACGCCCCAGTTGTAAAATTAAACCTAATTACTTTAAACTTGAATGAGTTGACAGGTATAGATGGCGTGGTGGGACCTAGGTACGACTGCGTTCAGAAATATTTTATTTTAGCTTTAAAATTGTGTGACGCCAGAGGATGTAAGCCGGGACTACACTAGTTATCTTTCATCATCTTCGGACGAGACAACAACTTCGCATAATTACAGTCGAACTTCACGTACAGGTAAGTTCGTTTGACTATTAATTATAGTTAGCATATAATATAAAAGTTACAACGGTTAAAGGTTCGAAGACAATAGCCGAACGGTGAAGGTGTCGTCACGGTTTTGTCACGACACCTTCACGGTCGTCACGGTCAACCCCCTCACAATACAAGCATATTTTACGAAAGGTTAATAGATTTTAACCTTAATTTAATTTATTCTTTGTTTTTAGGTTACCCGCAACCACCTCCTAAACTCTTCAAACTACTCACTGAGCTCGCTATTCAGCGTGGGTTCCGTGGGTGGTTCTGTTGCTGGGTCAGTGGCCAGCTTACAAGGATCCACAAGGTAAGATAACCATTTCATTTGTTTACTAAATTGGTTTAAAAAGAAAGAAAAAATTCGAAATTTGAATTTGAAAATCAAACGATATAGATTCTTTAAAAAATCTTAGTTGCCAGTGCGCTCTACTGATTAAGGCTCACTTGCTCCACCTAACTTTAACCGTAACTATAACACACAGTGCGTTTTGTATGTAGTTTGACAGATTTTCGACGTTTGTTAAAGTTAAAGTAAGATGATGCAACCCAGCCTAGGAATATAATTGATTATAAAGGTAATCCCAAGACAAAACTTCTTTTACTAGCTGAAAATGCAAAATGAATTAGCTAGTTTTTAGGTTTTTAGTAGCTCAAGCTTGAACTGACCATATTTCATTTCATGGTCATGACCATATTAATGGGAGTTCGTGTTCCTTGGCTCAGGTCCAGCGTGCACGGCCCGCGCAAGAAGGCGGCGTCGTGGCAGGGCCCGCCGTGCCTCGCCGGCCTGTACCAGATGCTGCTGGCGCCCTTCGAGGACCTGCTGCCGGCCTCCTGCAACAACAACCACGGTAAACACTCAAAAACATTAATAATAATACTACTTACACGTGAGACAATTTTACCTTTGAGCTGGATTGCATCTTTATCTGTCTTCACCCGCGCGTTTAGTCCGATTGAGTTATCATGTCAGAGTCAGACGCTTATAGCTGCACAGTGCCGTAGTTATAAAACGGTACTGTGAAGCGTTCGTCGAACGAAAACATTGATTACCGAGTTAGCATCTCGCAGGTGATACAACAAATTTTACAGATCACCGCGTTAGTACCTACCTCCTACACCGTCTTAATCACATTAGTAGGGTTACTTCACAGACTTTCAAAAAACGTCAAAACGTTTTTATAACTTTGTTAGTACTTACTTATGTTTGCCGCGTAAGGAACCGCAAAATATTGACATTATTGTTGTTTATTTTTTTAGCTACCCACGGTCGCCGCGGCTGCGGCGGGCGGCGCGAACTAGTGGTGGTGGTGGAAGGCGTGCTCTACGCTTGCCCGTGGGGCGCGCTGCGACCAGCCGACGGCGAGCCGCTGTGCGAGCGGTACGCGCTGCTGGCCGCGCCCGCGCTGCGCCACCAGCGGGCGCGCCACCGCCAGCGCCCGCACCACGACCACGGTACGTGTAGTGATAGTGATGGTGATGGAAGGCGTGCTCTACACTTGTCCATGGGGTGCGCTGACACCAGCGGGCGCGCCACCACCAGCGCCCGCACCACGACCACGGTACGTGTGTAGTGACAGTGGTGGTGGAAGGCGTGCTCTACACTTGCCCATGGGGTGCGCTGAGACCAGCGGGCGCGCCACCGCCAGCGCCCGCACCACGACCACGTTACGTGTGCAGTAACAGTGGTGGTGGAAGGCGTACTCTATGCTTGCCCCTGGAGAGCCCTGAGACCAGCGGGCGCGCCACCGCCAGCGCCCGCACCACGACCACGTTACGTGTGCAGTAACAGTGGTGGTGGAAGGCGTACTCTATGCTTGCCCCTGGAGAGCCCTGAGACCAGCGGGCGCGCCACCGCCAGCGCCCGCACCACGACCACGTTACGTGTGCAGTAACAGTGGTGGTGGAAGGCGTACTCTATGCTTGCCCCTGGAGAGCCCTGAGACCAGCGGGCGCGCCACCGCCAGCGCCCGCACCACGACCACGTTACGTGTGCAGTAACAGTGGTGGTGGAAGGCGTACTCTATGCTTGCCCCTGGAGAGCCCTGAGACCAGCGGGCGCGCCACCGCCAGCGCCCGCACCACGACCACGTTACGTGTGCAGTAACAGTGGTGGTGGAAGGCGTACTCTATGCTTGCCCCTGGAGAGCCCTGAGACCAGCGGGCGCGCCACCGCCAGCGCCCGCACCACGACCACGTTACGTGTGCAGTAACAGTGGTGGTGGAAGGCGTACTCTATGCTTGCCCCTGGAGAGCCCTGAGACCAGCGGGCGCGCCACCGCCAGCGCCCGCACCACGACCACGTTACGTGTGCAGGGACAGTAGTGGTAGTGAAAGGCGTTCTCTACGCTTGCCCGTGGGGCGCGCTGCGACCAGCGGACGGCGAGCCGCTGTACGAGCGGTACGCGCTGCTGGCCGCGCCCGCGCTGCGCCACCAGCGGGCGCGCCACCGCCAGCGCCCGCACCACGACCACGGTAAATGTGCAGTGACATTGGTGGACACATTCCCACGCTGAAGTATGATGGTCCTTCTAAAAGTTATGCCCAAACTGGGTCCACATTGTATAACTGCTTAAATGCTAAGACCCAATACGCTGATGTGGTTAAGCAATAAAGTATTGAGTATTGATTTGACAACGATTTCCAACACAGGGAGTTTGTATGGTAACGTCAGTCAGGCTCGATCCTCGCACAATACAAAAATGAGTGTGCCCGAATATAAAATCGCACTTTACTATACTAGAACAAATGTCAACCAGCATTTTTAATTTTTATTTAAATTCTCACTCCTTGTACAGCCGCGACCGCAGCAGGCAGCAGCGCAGCAGCCGCAGCGGCCGGCAGCAGCGCGCCCGAAGCAGGCATGCGCTGCCTCGTGGTGGGCGGCGCGCGCGTCGGCGGCTCGCGATGGGCCAGCGCGCACGCACAGCTCAAGGAGGCCGAGCTGGTCGCTGATATGTTGCGAGTCACTCCGCTGACGGACTATCAGGTACAGTTACAACCCTACTATACTGATACAGCCCAGACAGCAGCCGGAAGCAGCGCAGCAGCCGCAGCGGCCGGCAGCAGCGCGCCCGAAGCGGGCATGCGCTGCCTCGTGGTGGGCGGCGCGCGCGTCGGCGGCTCAAGATGGGCCAGCGCGCACGCTCAGCTCAAGGAGGCCGAGCTGGTCGCTGATATGTTGCGAGTCACTCCTCTGACGGACTACCAGGTACGGTTACAACCCTACTACACCTATACAGCCGCGACCGCAGCAGGCAGTAATCCAGCAGCTGCAGAAGCGGCCGGCAGCAGCGCGCCCGAAGCAGGCATGCGCTGCCTCGTGGTGGGCGGAGCGCGCGTCGGCGGCTCGCGATGGGCCAGCGCGCACGCACAGCTAAAGGAAGCCGAGCTGGTCGCTGATATGCTGCGAGTCACTCCTCTGACGGACTATCAGGTACAGTTACAATCCTACTATACTAATACAGCGGCGACTGTAGCAGACAACAGTCGTAGCGGCCGGCAGCATTGCGCCCGAAGTAGGCAGGCACTGCTTTGAGCCAGCGCGCACGCACAGCTCAAGGAGGCCGAGCTGGTCGCTGATATGCTGCGAGTCACTCCTCTGACTGATTACCAGGTATGGCATGGTACTGAAGACGAAACCAGTGGTACGTAGATGTTCATTTGAATGATCTTAGTTGCGACAGGCCACAAACTTAGTGTCAGACTTATGAACCTGATTTAGCTTTTTGTTTTTTGTTGGGAAAATATTGGCAAAAGAATTATTATGCCTAATTTCCATTCATTTTTAGGCATCAAAAGAAGCTGTCCTCGCTCAGCTAACTCAAGCGGAATGCATCCACTTTGCCACTCACATCTGCTGGAAGACGCCCGCCATCGTTCTTAGCCCAGGAGAAGTGGTAAGAACCACTACCATAGCAAATCTTGTTGAAAATGTTTAAAAACATCATCTAATAATATCGCGATTTACAGGTGGACTCTCAAGCCAAGCGGCTTTTGAACACCAGTGTTGGAAGCGGAGTAGCTGATGTTTCAACCGAAAATGAAGAAGAAAGTAAGTATAATACTAAAGTCCACAACATACAATAATCACAAGTATCACCACCTTCAAAAATATTGATTTGAATATTTTTATAGATGCTGAAATGCCCCAAAGTAATGAAGAGTTGCCACCTGCTTCAGAGTTTATGCTCACCGCTAATGAGATCATGAACCTGAAAATTACTGCCCGATTGGTAAGTTCAAACAATGAAGACGTTCGTCTTATCTCGTGAAGTATCTCAAAGTACCTACTTTAAAGTGTTATTGCAACGACTTGCATAGCATTGTATTATTTTATGTTTGGCATTCCTTTCCATCATCGACCTCTTCACCACTTTGATCACTTATTCTGTTCTCCAGGTCGTAATATCATGCGCTCCATCAAGCGCCGCCCTCCAAGGATCCACCACCGAAGAGAACGAAGACGTGAACATGGCAGGCGAGGGCATATCCCGCCTCTGCCGGGCGCTGCTCACGGCAGGAGCCCAGGCCATCCTACTGACCCTATGGCCTGCTCCTCAGGATACTGCCACCAAGATACTGTATAGGGCACTCTATTCAGCGTTGCTGCAAGGAAGCAGGGTAGCGAAGTAAGTCAAATATTTGTTCGTCTTTTGAAACTTATCAATATTTACGCTGTAGTTTGTGCAGCGTGTGATGTCTACCCATTAGGTGGATAGAAAACCTTAAAAATATTGCAGAAAATCGTCGGATCCAGAACGCTTCCAACTAGAAATTAATCTAGAAATCATTAGATGTTCAGTATTGCTGTACATAAAGTGTTATACACTCTGATTAACTTCGTTGCGGGTCCAATGACAGTTCAACATTCCCCCGGGACAAACTTGACCTTCACTGGTTGGATTTTTATTGGCGGTCAAGCTGTAGATTCTGGCTACACAGGAGTTGCAGCGGTGGGAATGAGAGGTGGGAATAGTCCCGTAGTACATAAAGTGTATTATAATGTAAATAACATTTTTTCCTCAGGGCTCTAGGCGACGCGATGCAGACGGTGCGGCACACGAAGCACTTCGCGCACCCGGCGCACTGGTCGGGGCTCGTGCTGCTGGGCGGCAATGTGCGCCTCAGCAACAAGGTGGCGCTCATGGGGCAGGCGCTGTGCGAGCTGCTGGCCGCGCCCGACAAGTGCCGGTGAGACACTACTCCTGCAGCGGTCGCGCCCGTGACGTCACAGCTGCAGCGGGCGGCAACGTGCGCCTCAGCAACAAGGTGGCGCTCATGGGGCAGGCGCTGTGCGAGCTGCTGGCCGCGCCCGACAAGTGCCGGTGAGACACTACTCCTGCAGCGGTCGCGCCCGTGACGTCACAGCTGCAGCGGGCGGCAACGTGCGCCTCAGCAACAAGGTGGCGCTCATGGGGCAGGCGCTGTGCGAGCTGCTGGCCGCGCCCGACAAGTGCCGGTGAGACACTACTCCTGCAGCGGTCGCGCCCGTGACGTCACAGCTGCAGCGGGCGGCAACGTGCGCCTCAGCAACAAGGTGGCGCTCATGGGGCAGGCGCTGTGCGAGCTGCTGGCCGCGCCCGACAAGTGCCGGTGAGACACTACTCCTGCAGCGGTCGCGCCCGTGACGTCACAGGGCGGTACTCGAAGCACTTCGCGCACCCGGCGCACTAGTCGAGACTCGTGCTGCTGGGCGGCAACGTGAGCGCGAGCGTGAGATGCTGACTGCCGTCAGTCAGGGTCCTTCGACCTATTGGCCGGTTCGGGCTTCGAAATATACGGACCTAGCCAGGCGGTGATGGGATCGTTGTTTGCGCAACGGACTAGCCTGTGGCTCGACTTTGACACCACAGTCCCGCCCTCCTCGTCGCGATACTAACCCACCAGGTGAGTCGAATGTTGGTCGAGGCCCAGTGATCTATCTGGGTGCCAAAGGAGCAAACTGGTAGTCGATTTAGCATTGCGTTGGGCTGGTCAAGGTACCGCTATTGTCTGCCGTGTGCTTGCCCGCTGACGTCACAGCTGCAGCTGGCGGCATACGAAGCACTTCGCGCAACTAGGTGCATGGCTTTCCTGGAAAGCATGATGTTCCCTGTCCGTCTTACGGCAGGAAAAGAGTGAGGGTGGTCCTGTCACCGCGGTGACGTCACAGCCAGATGCGATGCAGAAGGCTACTGGGTGCACTGAATTTCCTGGGGACATCTGATATTCAGATATTTCTCCCTGAGTTGTCTCTTACGACACCCAGGAGAAGAGTGATGGACTATTCTGTAAGAGAATCACAAGGCTATATTTTCCTTTATAGTTTCTTTAAGAAATATTATCTTTGGTGTATCAAATCTTTTACTCATTCGGATATTTCTTTTATGCAGGGATGCATTACGAGTATGCCTGCACTTGGTAGAAAAATCACTGCAGAGGATAGTACGTGGCCAGAAAAACGCTATGTACACGACGCAGAAGAGCATAGAAAACAAAGCTGGCAATGCGACTGGCTGGAGAGAACTCCTCATGAGCGTTGGATTTAGGTAAAATACTTTTTATCTACTATATCAAAATATTTTTTACTGGCTGCACCGAACAAAATTTTCATTACTTGTTTTTGTCTTCTAGATTCGAACCAGCAGCTAATGGCATTCCATCAAGCGTGTTCTTCCCTCAGAGTGATCCAGAAGAGAGACTAACCCAGTGCTCCGCTAGTCTTCAGGCTCTACTTGGTAAGAAGATAACATGGAATTACCTGGAATTACCTGGAATTACCTACTTGTTAAATAATGTAGATTTAATTTAAACCTAACTAGGTACCTTAACCATCTAAAAACTATGTCACGATGTATCACTATTCTGTCATGTTTTCTTACAATATTTCTTCTTTCAGGGTTGACACCAACCACACTTCAAGCCCTGTCGAAGTTGATTTCGAATGGAGATGTAGCCGATGACATCATTGGGGTTATCCGTTCCGTTATCTCCCAGTTCTCCGTAAAGAACTCTGATACAGACACCATTGAGGTTGCTGTAAACGTCAGGTACATATTGCTCACAATATCAATCAAACTTACGTTTTATGTAGATATTTTTGTGAATAACATCAATATTGTTTTAGGTTATGGCGCGTAAATGGATGCCACGAACTGCTGGCATCTCTTGGATTCGATCTGGCTGAAGTGGGCCAAGATGAGGTGACACTACGTACTGGGAAAGCAGCCAATCGACGACACATACAATTTGTGCTACAGGCTCTTCTAGCTTTATTTGGTACGTATCTGAACATCAACGTATTATAACTTCATTCAACTAACAAGTACCAAACTATAACTTCTATTAATTTTAGACACGCAAGAAGCCCCACGCAGTCTCAGCTTAGAGTCGAGCTCAAGCGTGGAATCACTGGCATCTATCGACGATGGAGACTTAGAACCACATTCAGATGGTGAACCACCACCAAGGCAGCACAGACGTAAGTCTACCAACAGGATTGACGAAAATCTATATTCCTGCAAACTTTTGTCAGATTAGATTTTTCTAAAGTGTTATTTCTTTTTCAGAAGAAAGCGTCTCATCAGTTCCTCCTCCGCCACTCCCATTAGGCTCTTGCGGAGGGGCTTTCACAATGTACGTGCGAGGATCGACGTCATCCACGGAAGTTGGTCGTGGAGAACCTGACGGTAGGACTGCCCCGCCCCCGGCTCCAGCTCCACCAAGGTACAGGGGAGAGAGTGACGCGGCCTTCACACCTTCCCCACCAGCCGCCCCTCAACCTTCCACCGCACCACCTAGAGACGTGTCCTTAGCTCTCGCCCATCAAACTAAAATACGGACACTTTACACCCGAAGACCACCATCTGACGACTCGGATTGGGAAAGCTCTGGACATGACACCGTATTACGCAGGCGACCAGAACACTCCCACGCGAGGTATTTAGACGCCTTCTACGACTTAGCGTCAGCGCAACCACGGAGGACAGAAGAAGAAAAGACAGACCAAGCGTTAGCCCAACCCTCAACATCTAAACGCGTTCCTCGACCGAAAATGGGCACCAGCAGTCGCGACTCCATGGCCCAAGTACGACACATGAGTGGCGAACTAACCCCTACCATATCAGAGGTATACCACGAAAGAAATATCGGCTTAGGCCTCGCTCCTCCACTGGCTGAACTACTTTTAGCAGAAGAATCGAAGACAGAAATGAGAGCGGCCAGCTCAAGTGAGAATCTTCTTCTGCAAAATTTGGAGAAACTAGGACTTTTGGGAGAGACCAGTGAAACAGAGGAACGGTGGTGCGGCAACAACGCCTCGAGACCTTGGCTATCTGCTCCACCTCTAGAGACTGATGTTCAAGGGTCGGATTTGACAACTGCAGAAATAATTGAACGACAAACAAAGTTCAAGAAAGACGCAGAACCAAAGAGGAAGGAGGAGAATGCTTACGAATTGAAGCCGAAGGACGAGACTCCCGGACCTAGTGGCATAGAGAAGCGATCTGTGTCTCCTTTTTCTGAACTTTCACGGAGAGACGAGGGTGATGGAAGGAGCATAGCGGACTCGCACTCCTCATACAAAGCATTAGTGTTGAGCCCTAGAGCCCCATACCTTCCTGAAGAGGGGGAACCTAGTATGAGCAAGGCAGCTGAAGGAGGTAAGACACACCCTCGGCCTCGGAGGCCTCCGGTGCCTAGAACTAGACCTTCATACACTACTTTAGATTTTCCACCGAACAAATAATTTAAAATGGTCACAATTATATTATTTTTTATTATTAGGTACATTGTATTATATCCTTCTAATTATTGAATAATTAACTATTTATGATGGTAAAATGTTATTATTGTAAAATATTAATTTCTATCTTGGTATAGTCAGCCATCAATAGTCATAAGTTAGGTAGCTAGTGGTTTAACATTACTCATATTTTTGTTATTATTATAGTGCCCAGTAGTAACATGTCTATCTAAACGTAAATAGATATTAAACGCCAGTTTCTTGCAGTCAGGCTATGAACATTTGAATTTAAACTAAGCGCCCAGGCAATTACCTGTCTCATGATCATAATCACATGTTTTGACTAAGTAGTGCTTGTACCTAAGTATTTTGCTATTTTAGTTTTATATGACAAGTCGTATACGTAATTTAGATGTGTAATACTTAGATACTTAATTTTACATAAATAGGTCGTACTATCTAGTTAATTCTTACTTAAATAATTTTATATCGTTTTATAAATGGTGCCTTATTTATTTGTGAATGCGAAACCTTGTAAATTGTGAATGAATTAGTTATTACTAAAATTTTTGTGATGTGTATCTTTCCATTTTTTTTATTCTTGCCATTAAATGTAATTATGTACTATCATAACTTGTATAAAATAAACTTAATTTGAATATAATTATGGCTTTATTACTTAACTTTCCGAACGCAATTGAAGAACTGAATACCGAATTACCGATACTCGTAGATACAACATAATACTGCAATCATAGCCAAGCTTTTTGTAATAAGTCCTCTGAAAATCATAATCAAGATTCTTGTAGAATAGACCCCAAGCACTGACATCTATTATACGACATACAGCCCACAACGAGTGTCAAGGACTTCGGCCGCATATCCGCAATTTATAATCATAAGTACTTACCTACCACATCCGTGAACCAGTAAAAGCTTTTTTACGCAACTTAAGCACAGGAAATTAATAAACTTATAAAGTAGGCGCTCTACGTAACAGCTTACTCTGTTAGGAATGCCGTAATATTGAACTACCAGTCTTTTTCGCTCATCTCTCAACGCACAAGCGAGAGGAAAGAACAGAAAATACGAAAACCACCTGTAAAACAAGTGAAAAGCTATGATTTTTTTCTCAAAGTGCCGTGAAATTAGTCCAGTTATCTTGCATAGAAACATTTATTCTTGGAAGACATTTCAGTTTGTATTAAAATAGTAAGACACGGGTCTTAACGCGACGTTAATTAATGAGTTACATTATGTAAGTACTCACGTTAAGACGTGTCTTACTCTTTTAAAATAATTGAAATGGAACGCGAAAGTTTAAAATCTTTTATTTCAGTTTGTGTTTCAGTTTTATAATCAAAAAGGGGACAGCTGTTGTAACTTGAAAATTACAACTTTATTACTATTAAATAATTTTACGATGGAATACCCACTTAAAAACTTGCATTCAATACGATACTCTTAGAACTGGTCTTCCTTGATCGTATAAATCAATGCAGATTTAAGATAAGCAGAACAAAAAGCCGTTTGTCAAGAATGCAACATTGGTGCAGGTCAATGTTGCTTTGTGTGCCCATGGTCACAGTTCTATCCTAATTAATACATAGTATAATATAGTACCTACTAAAATGGCCACCACTCCTTCCACTTCATTTTTGTTCCTAGCAACAGCACGCATTAATAGTTTGAAAGTATGTACACTGAAATACCTACACGGTGCAACATTTTCGAATGCAATGTACTTATGAATAGCTACGATCAACTTTTACTTAATACAAATATCGTAAAAATCATAATGCTCCTTAAATCATCGATGTAGAGCATTATTTTGAATGGTTAAGACTTAATTGCAGTAAAAAATGACTTTTCTGTGCATGCCAATCATTATTAACAGAATACCTCCAGTTAGTAATAAACGAGGTAATACCTACAAATCATTGCTTTCTTGCCTCTTTTACTAAGATATTATCAATTTCATGGTACAGTTGTTAGTAAATCCATGTAGTTAGTAAGATATAATTAGGTAGGTACCTACACCCANAGCCAATAATCCGCATTAACAACCATAAAAAATATTCATAAGCTTTTTGTTTTTTTAGCCAATAGCCTAGACTTTTTTTTTAAATTACGAATAAGTAGATACTTAAGTAGTTACAGTGAAACTTGGTTAAGTGGGACCTGGATAAGTGAGAAACCTCCATAACTGGAACTCATGCTGAGGTCCCAACACTTTGGCACTGAATTACCTCTTACCTTTATAAGTGAAACGACATTGCAGGTCCCTTGATGTCTCACTTAACCAGGTTTCACTGTATTACATTTTTTCTGGCGTGAAGAGTCGCCTCTCGATCCATTATTAGGTTCTATTCCCCACCTTAGGCAGTTCGACTTTTTCAAGTCATTTTAAAAATAAGTAGTTACTTATTGTAACATCTAATGATCTAATCACATCTCATTCGGGTGTAACGAGCGGAAAGAAAACAAACGAAACGTGGCCAAGTGAACCGTAGCTGACAAATTATCGAGAAACCTTACCGGACTGACCTTGACATGCCGTTACAAAAGTTGTTGGTATGCACGTGTGTTCTTTCGGATTGTACAATAACTTTTTTGTTTATAGTTTGCGCGTGATATTGCCATTTCCGGCATAGAATTAGACCATAAACTAACCCATGCCGCGACTACGCTTGCATTAATATGAATTATTTTATTCAATTTTAAACAATATTCTGGCTAACGTCAAAAATAATAGTAAATAAAGAGAAGTTAGCCCTCAAGGGGCACTTTACATGTCTCCTTATCTTTTGGGCCCTAAGTAACAGCGCTTCGAGACAAACATAAAGGCAAGTGCTGAGAATAAACGCCGGAACAAACTCAGTCACCAACCATTCCTGAAGGACTTGTGACTGACTTTCCAAATGACCCGCAGACGAGCAGAGCAACGGAGAAAAGTAAGCAGGTAATTTCATATCTTACATTTTTAGAACCTTGAGGTTTGCACGACCGTCTACCCTGTTGTCTCGTAGCGCGTTCGACTCCCGCCCAAGTCGTGTCGTCACGAGCTAGAACACCGCCCATCCGATGAAATAAACCAAATTTTTGATTGTGGTAGTCCTTGTAATAATAAATTGCAAAACGATTTTATTGATTTAACTGATAGTTAATTACTAAAACTAAAACTATAATTTGAGTGAAGATAGTCTAGTTACTTTATTAATATTTGAATAGATGGTATTTTGAATCAACGTCATTTTCTCTTTGTAATCCCAATGCTGGATTTCACTCGTGTTCAGTTTGATATCAAGATAATATGTGTACCTACATGGTCTATGATTCGTTCCTTCAGGGTCCGTTAAGTGCACAAAAAACTGTATTCCCTTTACTATTCAATAACCAAATTATCGTGATATCTTGCTTTACATCAATCAAAACGATAGATCGGAATTTATACTCCATTCAGGTCCCGAACGCAGTTGCCAGTAATTAAGCAATGTTCGTAAAATTAATAGTTTTGTTAATAGAGCTTATAACTGTAGTTGGGGAGCTGGCGGTAGAAATGTCAGAGGTATTAAAAACTATGCATTGTATATAATGTGTACTCGTATATTACATGAGTCCATATAATAGTTTATGTATTACAGCTAGCTTTTAATTGGTGTCTGACTCAGGAAATTGATATTTACGAGTAAATAAATCATAGGCACCAGCCAAAAGCAAAAAACGAAACGCAGAGGTGACTTAATTCAAATAAGTAGGTACTTAGTGTAAATAAGGTAAATAAGGATTTCGTAACTAATTATATTATTATGTCATTTAAGTAGATAGGTCTGGATATAAAATATTGATTCCATTTTAAGAATGTTATTGAGCTTTTACCAAGCCCTTCCCCAAAAGTGGTCACCAGCTCCCGGACTATTATTGTGCTAGCCCAGCGGGCGGCGTGTGAGCCAGCCGCTATAGCCTATTAGACATTGTTTATTAACTTAATGACACACTAAACTTGATAATTACCAGGCATAATCTATTGTTTCGCATTAGTAGTACAGTATTTTGACACAAATCCTACAGTAATAATTTGTTTATGATTCCAATATTAAACTGGCTTTATAGGGTCATTCATCATGTAAAGACAAAACCATTTATGGTATACAGAACTGCTTACCAGCAATATACTCTTCCAGTTTTTTAACATTTTATTGTTATTTTTCAGATATCGAACCCGGCATGCGAAACACCAGGTCAAAGAGGCCGTCTCGTAAATATTAGTGTTATTGCAATGTTGCATAGTTAATATCAGTGTTTGCGGTCTGCGGTCGACTTCTAAGCCACATTATCACCTGCGAATTAAAACAATCTCGATCAGCGATCAAAAATCCACATTTCTTTCGGCCATTGTTATTTAAATAGACCATAGTCGTGAGTCGGGCCAGCCAATCGCATAAATAGCTTTAAATCGGATTAGTAGCAGTAAATCTATGTTATTAACTTATTATTATGCCTGTGAATGAAACCCGACACGGTGCCAGGCCGATTTCGTGATAAGATAAGGTTCGGTAAGCATTTCGAATCATTAGCCCACCTGACAGCTCGCTGATGTAGGGAATTTAAAAGGTTTTTGGGGACTAGCTTCATTGTGCGCCCAGAGATGAATTGTTGAATTCTAGACGAATACTTATTTGCGCAATTTATGCAAATTCGTATGCGTTTAGGGAAAATTAAACATTTTAAGCTGAACACCACCAATGCGTGTTTGTTTATCTTCTTAGATTCTACTGGTTGGGCTTTATTGGCGGTCACGATCTAAACATGACAACACAGAAGTTTGGTTGTGTGTGCGAGATGTTGAAATAGACCCTTGACACATTTTTTGTGCTTTAGTGCTTACTTTCATGAAAATTTACGTAAACCTTAGTTTACTTTGGAACCTTATTACTAACTTAAGTGACTACTTATAGGTACTCGTAACATTTATAAAATGGTAACAATTGGTAAAACTATTGGCTACTAACCACTAATTCAAGC